GCAGATTGTACGCGTTCGCGGCATCTAATGTAGTGTAAGATCCATCCATTCCGCGAAATAAAGCGAATGTATGAATTTCAGAAAACTCCTCTTCTATAGGTAAGTAAGAGGAAAAGGCTAGTAAAACTATCCGCCAACCTAGCACTCTGTCGCACTGCACGCCTCCTCACATGTTCACGTTACGGATTCGCGCGTCATCCTGTGGCATTGTCTTGTCCATCGTTATGTCAGTTTTCACTCCGACAAGTATCAATTTCCTTGTTGAGCAAGCGACAGCAGCATAGAAGCTCATCTAATTTTTCAATAACAGAAGGAAATTCAAATCAGACAACCTTTGCTACTTGATATACAGGGTGTCTCAAAAGTAGGTGCACACTATTTGATCGTTAATGACTCTCTTCCCCATATGCCTTTTCCTTAGCTTTAATTACCATCCAATAGAGAGGCTTTAACTTAGATTTACGGTATGGGGAACCAGCCATTGCCCTTCATTACTGTAGGAATACGGTAGAAACTTCTAGCATACAGCAGCATTGTGAAATGAGCCGTTTGAACAGAAGCTCCAAAAAAAACCTGGAAGTTGTGAAGCAGTGTTTCCAGACATGCATGACTTCATCAGACAACTATTTTTTTAACTATTTATTTTTTCAAATGGTCCAGTCAGCACTTTTGAACAACACTGAAAAAAACGTCGTGGCAGTTTACTTGGCATAAGTCTTGAAATGAACCTTACGATATGTTGAATTTTATATTGATAATCAACGACTCCGTTTAGCCTAATGATAGAGTTTTTGGCCCTTTGAGTATCCACTCTGCTAGATCAATATATGGCCACTAACGGCTCGGACCTTTTTCAAAGTTCTTACCGTATCCTACCGTGATCAAGGGCGGTGGGTGGTCGCTTGATACTGTAAGCCTGAATTGAAGCCTCCTCTACTGAGTAATACTTGAAGCTAAGGAAAAGACCCAGTGGGAAGAACGCTATTAGCAATCAACAAGTGTGTATCTACTTACTTTTGAGGCGCCCTGTATTTAGGACAGTACAATCAGGGCCCAGCAGGACGAGGTTGCATTCTAGAATTTTGAAAACGATATTCCTTTGAAGCCCAAATTTTTTACGACTTCTCCTTTGACCCAATTTTCGATCCACCTAATTCCATGATATATACAGATACACAAATGGAAAGACCTGAGAGGACCTCAGCACGTTGTTATGGTAGTATAGTACTCATTTATTAGTCCACTATAGGCACGAAACCTCACATCATACGAAACAAAAATATGAGCCAATATTACACACTTGCAACAACTTCGTAACATTCGCTATATATGGAAAAAGATCATTCGCTAGATCATCGACCGCTCTCTACGTCGTTGTCGCCGTTGCGTTTTGTGGAGCCGCACATCTTCATTAAGCCTCGCAGAGTTCACGCGATTTGATCGTTGCGACTCAATCGTCGCGATTTCCATTCATTTTCATTTTACGTTCAAAAATTTCGGGCTGGAAAAGTATCACAACCGAAATGCAAGCTGGTCGGCATGCATGAACTCGTAACAGTTGTCTTGTCGCGAGTGAATCGCGACGATCAAATCGCTTGAACTCTGCCCGAGGCCTTAGGCTGCGAAGCAAGCGCGAGCGCAATGTTTACGCGACAATCTTCGACGAAGAAATAACGCTGCGCACGTCTCGCTTTCGGGACTAGCTTGACTTTGTTAAACTCACACTAGCGTTATTTTGGTCTGCATTAGTGTACTGGCTTTGCGTGGGTGAGAAAAGTAGTAGCAAACCATCAGCAAGGTGCAAGTCCATAAAGCATAATAGGGCCTGAAACAGCTGAAAAAGCTAAAGTGCTACCTGACATACCTAACAGAGCTGACATATTGGAGCACTACTTTGTAGGGCATGAATCCTTTGATGAATCTTCAACCTTCTTTCGAGCGAGCTGAAGAAAGAAAAGCGTGTTTCTCGTTTCCTCGTTCGAAAAAAAAGCTCTCTGAGTCATACCTTCGATAGTCTAGAGACAGGGCGCCAAAAGTGAGGCTTGTTTGAACATCTGACGTCATAAATAGTGAAGGTTGTTTGAAGAAGATCAGAGAAGAGAATATGACGTAAAGCGGAGCGTAAGCGCGTAACCAAATAAAAACGCTGCAAAAAGGTCTGAAATCATTTTGGCGGCTTTTCGAAGTGCAAGTTTCGCTCCAGGACCAGCAATTCGCAACACGGGGTTTTGATCTTTGATGCGTCCTTTAAATTTTTACCCCGCAATGACGTTACTGTTTCCTGGGACGTTGTCTGAATTGTTGCGCTTATTGTTCTGAGCAATAATCGCCCAAGCTGGAAAAAATCGATGCGAAAGCACTGAAACAGAACAAGGTAAAGAAAAACGCACTTTTTACGATTTTTCGCAAAAAACTCCACCGTAGTCGAAGAGGTAAGGGCTGGGTGGTTGTCTGCATTATGAATAGAAGCAAGTTCTATAGAATGCATGAAAAAACCGCGTGAAAATAGTTGAAGTAGGAGAAGAACAAGAGATTTTCGAAAATAAGGTTTTTGTCGGAGTTCTCGATCAAATCAAAAATGTGGTTCTGGGACGTTGTCAGCGTGAAAATAGAGATCAAGAGCTTCAAAATGACATATGGCTTGCTAAAATCGGGTTCGAAACAGCGAAGAAAAGGGTACAGAGCCAACTGCCCCGCGCCCCGCGTTTGGGGTAGCGAGATAGCGCGCAGCGTGCGGAGACGCAGACGAGCAGCGGAGACAGACCAGAGCCGACGGGGCATTTGGCTCTGGTCGTAGATCTCCGCGGGGTCTCAACGAAACCCTACAACATTATATACCATTCTGATCGTCATGACGCGGCGAGGAGAACTGACAACGTCCCAAGCTTTGAAAATCACTCATCAACGAGATAGACCAGCGTTTTCGTGCGCGACTCTCTGCGCAAGACTTAAGCGCAGTTCCTCGTTTTTATTTAATCTCAATAACTTTCCTAAACTTCTGAAACTCGATTTTGTTCAGAGGAGAGGATAACTGAGAAATTTTGTCTTGAATTCTGGCGAAAATTCCGCAGAAACCTTCCTTTTAAGGTAAAAAAGGCCATGAAAGCAAATTCTCGGTTTCGCTGAGATAAGCTAAAGATAATATCCCCTATATTTGCTTCATTAACATTCGTTCCGATATAGCCAGGATAATAACTCCGGGGCGAAGCCGCGGATGAATTCTGTTTTGTTCCAGGTGAAGGTTGTGTCCCCCATAGCCTTCAAAGTGAAGGTTACCAGAGTACGTGGCTCAATGTATCGTGGGTATGCTCTGAATGAAGAGAGTCAAGCGAAGAACTCCATGCAAACGAAATTTCCCTTCAGCTCATTTTCCATCTTGATTAGTACGCTTCCCTGGTCGCCTCCTTGGCTAATGAGCCTCGCTGGGCTTAAACGCTCTATACTCTACCAATATTATAAACGAGTGTTGTTAGAAATCTAGAATCAAACTGATGATATGGAGTAGTTTCAATAAAATCAGTAAAACAACTTCCCCACACCAGCCAAACCCTCTAGAGGGCTCTACCACATCGTCTAGCCGAGTTTGCGGCCAACCTGATTCCCAAATTTTGCCAAGATAGTTGTCTGGGCCGGAGATCAGGTATGGCTTATCTTTCGGCTTATCTTGTGGCAGTAATCGATACAATTGACCTGATAATACGAAAAGATGACCATGGGTATGAATTGAGACGAGTCTTCTGGACTCAACTGACAGTCTCAAAAATAAATACCGCATTACTATGTATGCGGTAACGGATCAAAGATAATTTGAGGTTCGAAAAGATCTAGAAACATGTGCTGCATCACTTCAGCTTGACTTCAAACTTGGTACTTTGAGAGGGAAACTTACCTCTTCGTTATGTCCTTCCAACGTGAAATTGGACTGTCGATTACCAAAATGCCAAACCTATAGAGTGAGTAGGAGACACTGATCACTATCGCACCAATCATGACTTATAATAACGGGCTAAGGATGTTTACGTGACTTTGTGTGTGTGTGTGTGTCTGTCTGTTACGAAATTCGTGGAGCGTGTTCCAGCCAACGTTCTAAGCCCAAATTTTGTATAGCGCATGCTACCTTCGTGAAAGTCCAACATGCAAAAGCACGAGTAGATTCGTTGAGTGGATCCCTCAGAATTTGCGCGCCAAACGGGTCCACCTGGCTTCTGTACCGCAAAAGTCGGTTCGTATCACCACTTTTTGCAGAGTCGTGGATGAGTTTGGTAAGCAAATGTGCAAGCGATGGAGTTTAGCCAGAAAAGTGGTCGAAAGTTTACTACATAACGAAAACGGCGCCATAACGAATTGGTTGTGTAAATGATCAATTTGCCAAGGTTCTAGCTAAGCGTTTGAGAAGATTTTCGCACAGAGATGTAGCTCACGGTTATCGTTACCTTTATGGCGACTACCAAGTCATGACAAACCCAAAAACCTATTCAAATTGGCGTTTGTCTTCCTGCGAAAAGTTTCATCCACTCGAAATCACCGATCTCACGTGAAAAGATTTTCTAAATGAGTGGTTGTTTACATTTTATTCGTGGTAGTCGGCATAGTGCGGTGAGTTCCACTGCCACGATTTTACGAGAATGAATAAGGCACATAGATAGTAGAGCCAGTGCGAACCTCTGCGAAGCAGAGGTGACGCACTGGTGCTAAGATAAGTCATATCTAGACTGAACTGAAGCCAACTTTTACAGTTCTATCTAATAAAGCAGGGGCAAAAGTCCCTTCAAATTACGATTCTAGCAGAAGAAGCGAGCTCTTTGTCGTTTTACTTTCAAGACTACATCTTTGCTTTATGAACAAGTTGACTAGTAATAGCAACCTACAACAATAAAGAAATTTATTATGACTGCATCACAGATAGAGTAAAACATGGACGTTTTGCTAATCTTGCACTTATTTTGTAGCATTAACAATTCATGAGACTCCACCAAGTACCAAAAGAATTGCTATTTTCATCACTTCTTTGTTTCTTCCTTCGCTGTTTTTATCATGGAGGTTTCTTTACGAGCAGTGGCGAGATCTTGCGCAGTTTTCATAGCTTCCTTGCTACCAACATTTTGCGCCGTTTTCACCCCCTCTTTGCTCCCAGTCCTGGACATACTTCTGTTTCTTCTCCTAGCAGGTAATGGTTTTGAAATGGAGCCCTTATCTACATGAACCCTCGTGTCGGGTACACTCGTCTTTACTGGCACTGGTGCACTTGGGAGCCTTGTAGCTCTGCTACCTCCCGTAGCAGGAAGTGGAGGGAGAGATCTGATCCTATGGGGAGGAGTGGTAGCGATGAGTCGAGTTGGAGCCACAGGTTCCGGAGGTGGCAGTGAGGATACTTGTGTGGGGATAGGTTCAGGCGGGGTATCCGGAGGCGGAGGAGGCATAGGTGGAAGCACTGTTGGAGGAGGCCTTGCATACTTCTTGCTCTTCTTCTCCGACCTTTCACTTTTATATCCCGACTGAAATATACAGTACACTTGCTATATTGTGGGGAGTTCAGATTCCCGTACCCTCATAGAGTCATAAGATCGGACGGCCGCGATCCCTCCTTCATGGACATCGCGTAAGAGGAGCTCGCTAAAACAAGAATTTGTTAATTCCGATCTTTCGCAGTAACTCGTGCGCCTTACGAGTTACTGTCACATTTGTGCTCCAAATCGACCTTCGCCCTTTCATCTCCTCCCGTCTTCTTCGCCTCTGCAACGCATGATTTCTAGCACAAATTCTCAGATCCAAGTAAAATACCTCACGGTATCGACGAACTACAACAATGGTGGTGAAAGTTGCTAGAGCGGCTCCAACACCCATAGCTATAAGCTCTCTTCTTGTCCGAGCTCGAAACCAGTTCCGCACTTCTCGAAAGATTGATTTGGTAGGCATCTCCTTGGGTTCATCCATAATGAAAATGGGTTTTCCTCACCAATTGACTGCTTTTATACGGTACTCTGAGCTTTGATAACCTAACAATAGGAGAATGCTGTATGGTAGGACTTCATTTTTTAAGCGAAACACATCGAAACAAAAAGTATGAGTTAGACTGATCTTATATATAAAGCTGAATGTCTGTCTGTCTGTATGTCTGTCTGTCTGTCTGTACGTATGTGCGGAATAGAAATTTTTATTTCTGAACCGATTTGGACCAAACTTGGCACACATATACTTCGGGACAGGAAGCGTGTCATAGGCTACTTTTCGTTATCGATCGATATCGATTTTATCGATTTTTTGCAAAATTTGAGCTACGGGGCTGGGAGTTGGCACAGGGGGGTAATCGAACATGCTGATCACCCCCGTGGGGGTGATCAGCATGTTCGATTACTCCCCTGTGCAAAATCCCAGCCCCCTAGCTCAAAATTTGCAAAAATCGGTGAAATCGACATCGATCGATAACGAAAAGTGGACTATGACACGCTCCCTGCCCCGAAGTGTATGTGTGCAAAGTTTGGTCCCGGGCGGAGCCGGGTTTGCCATCTAGTAAGTGATTATGTCTAAAGGGCATACGATATGTCCCTGAATGGTTGCACATGACCAGCGCAAGTTCGTAGGTACGATCTAAGCAATAGGAGAGTCAGTAAAAACAAAGCATAATCAGCTTCCATAAAACTTGTTCACATCAGAGTGAATCTCGAATTTAGCCTTGGGTGCAGGGCAATCATGTAGGGGAATTGTTGTAAATACTCATTTGCGCTAGTGCGACCTGAGTAGCAGTCTGGGAACTCAGTGCAATTTACAGAAAAAATTCGAAGAGCAACTAGAATTCACGGCAGTCACTTGTCTACTGAATAGCTCAATTCCAAGTAGAAAGTTCTTAATTCGACTGTCCTGTTTTGACAGAGGACAACAACTTGATGGCGGTCATCAAGCAATACGCACAGCTTGCCGTTTTGCAGCATGTGCTTGCCTTTCCGCTGTAGGAGATCTACGGCTTTGAGAAGGGCGGAACGGGAGAATTTTCTAAACCTGCACCTTGTTTGAAAAATTCTAAATAAAGGAAGTACAAATCGGCCTTGTAAAAACGTTTTTTGGGGCCGCGGCTGCCACCTTTCGCGGTTATGGACTCGCAAAGCTATTTTACTAAAAGTAATCACTTTGAGTCCATGTCCATGTTTAAGAAAAAACTGAATTTTTGATTGAAAGCTATTTTACTAGTGCAGAAAACCGTCGAGAGAGGCGTCAAAGTTAACCGTATTCCGAATAAATCTAGGTCTCAGATGATTCGGAATAAGGGTAACAATGACACTGCTCTGAGGGATGACTGCTTCGGATAAAAAATATTGAAGTGAACAGCTTAAATGCCGTTCTAATTTGAACCTCTCGAGTGCAGCGCCACATAAGTGGCTTGGTTAGTGTTGTAGAGCCGTCCCTTATATTGGAACTTGCTCACTCACTATAGGCTAGGTTGATATGGTCTCTGTGGTTGCGGCGTACCCGCCGCACCTTGATATATTTGTGTGTGTTGTTCTCTAGTTATTCCTAGTGAACCCTCGGCATGTACGCCGATAGGCAGAGGGGGAACTCTTGTGTTTTTCTAATAAATCGTCAACGGCTCAACGCGTTCCACATCAACTGGCGATCAGGATCAAGGACAAGAAGAACTCCACCACCAACCGAGGACGAGAAGAAGCTCCACCGCCGACCAAGGAGAAGAAGAAGCCTCCAGTCGACTTCAAGGACAACTTCTCCAGATAAGTTCTCTTTGAGGAATCGATCGACGAGAGCACGAATTCTCGTCGTTGCAGCGGAGCCATGCCGAAGGTTGCAGAAGAGCGGCATGCGGCGGATCTGGAGAAGGTCCTCAACGTCATGATGGAGCAGATGCGGCTTCAACAAGAAGAAGTTCGGATCCAGATGCAAGCCCAACAGGAACAAATGAGGATGCTGATCTCTACTCTGGCCAACAACCAGAGCGTAGCCGTACACGATGCCAGCAAGGATCAATACGATCAGCTGAGCAAGGATGTGCAAAGGTTCGTTTCCGACGAGGACACAGGTAACACCTTTGCGTACTGGTACGGCAGGTACGGACCGGTTATACGCGACTCCCAACTTTCGGATCAGAAGAAGCGCGACTTGATCCTATTGAAGCTGGATGAAGAAGCATACCGGAAGTATGCTGATGAGGTCCTGCCTGCGCAACCGAGCGACTTGGACTTCGACACCACCGTCGCGAATCTCCAGAAGCTGTTCGCCTCAAAGAAGACGCTCATCAGGAGACGGTATGAGTGCCTGAGGATAACTTGCCCTCCGCTTACGCCAGCGTACGTACCGTTTCGCGAGTACGCTAACACTATCAAGCGGATGGACGAAGACGCTCGACTCAAAGAGCTGGATTACACGGCGATGAAGACGCTGCAGTTTGTAGCAGGCCTTCAAGATCCCTCACTCAGGGAAGTTCGCCTTCGGATGATTCGTCGACTGGACGCTCACAGGGACGAAGCACCGTTGACAATCGAGGACCTAGTCGCGGAATGTGAGAATTTCACTGCTTTGAAAAGTGATAACACAGACATGGAAGGAACGCGCAACATTCAAGCTGTCTGGAAAAAGAAGGTAGATTGCTTCATCTGTGGAGGACCACATTTCAGAAGAGAGTGCCCTCAATCTGGCAGCACTGGTCGGAAGAAGCGACGGAGGACAGGTGCAAAACACTCTGGTCGCGAAGGACAGTGCAAGAATGTGGTCGCATTCGACACCGAGAACGCGCGGACCTACCTCGACGTCTTAGTTAGAGGATGTAATCTCAAGCTCCAGCTGGATACGGGTGCGGACATAACCCTGATATCGCGTAGAGCTTGGAAGAGGATGGGATCCCCTGCTCTGGAAACCTGTAGTATGCCAGTCGAAACTGCAGGCGGGACGTCGATGCAGATTTACGGTAAATTTCAAACCGATTTCTCAGTAAAAGATCGACATACAGGGAAGATGGTTCATGGAAAGGGCACATGCTACGTCACCGAAGGCTCAAATCTACTTGGACTGGAATGGTGCATCCAGCTGCCGGCATACAAAAAGCTGAAGGAGAACTACCAGTGCAGAAAGGTGACTAGCGTAGAAGAAATCCGAGCCGAAATGGTCGCCGACCTGAAGAAGAATCACGGGGAAGTCTTCAACAGCGACCTAGGAAAGTGCACGAAGAGTAAGGGCATCAACAGAGACATCAAGGACTCAGTGCGCCGCTGTAGAGCATGTCAAGAAGCAGCCAAGATGTCAGCGAAGACTGTACTGCATTCATGGAAAATGGAACAGAAACCATGGAATCGACTTCATATAGATTACGCAGGGCCGCTGAATGGCAAGATGTATCTCGTCGTAGTTGACGCTTACTCGAAATGGCCAGAAGTTTTTGAGATGCCTTCATCGTCAACTACAGCTACTTTGAAGGAACTCAGATCTCTATTCGCACGATTTGGAAATCCGCGAGTGATCGTGTCGGATAATGGGACGCAGTTTACAGCAAAGGAGTTTCAAGATTTCTGTGAAGAGCGAGGAATCAAGCACATGCGTTCTCCCCATTCCATCCACAATCAAATGGACAAGCGGAGAGGTTTGTGGATATCTTCAAAAGAACCTTCCAGAAAATTAAGGAGGGAGGAACGGCAGAGAAGCTCGCGGAGTTTCTGCAGTCTTATCGACGGACGCCTTGTACAACTGCTCCAGAAAAACGTTCGCCTGCCGAGCTGCTCCTGGGACGTCAGATCAGGACACCGCTGTCGCTGCTGAATGAAGACTCCAAAGAAGAAGGAATGGGCAATGAAAATATGGAGAAGCAGTTCAACCGCCACCATGGAGCTCGAAAGAGAGCGTACCAGCCACAAGAAGCCGTGTGGGTACGTGATTTTCGCTCTGGATGTGAAAAATGGATTCCAGCTCGAGTGAAGAAACGCTACGGAGAAGCGTTATATGGCGTGCTTACTGAAGATGGTCAGTTATGGAGACGTCATGCGAACCAGATGCGCCGAGCAGCAAGTATGGATCGACGTCATGACTCGACACAGTCCACTTCCGACGAAGACCGACTTAACAATGGTATGGATGTTGCTGAACACCAAGCCACCTCTTCTACACCACCGACATCAACCAGACCAAGTCGCCATCGTCGTCCACCAGAACGTCTACAAGTAGATCCTTGTTATAAGATGTACCGTTGTTCATCTTAGGAGGGAGGTGTTGTAGAGCCGTCCCTTATATTGGAACTTGCTCACTCACTATAGGCTAGGTTGATAGGGTCTCTGTGGTTGCGGCGTACCCGCCGCACCTTGATATTTTTGTGTGTGTTGTTCTCTAGTTATTCCTCGGCATGTACGCCGATAGGCAGAGGGGGAACTCTTGTGTTTTTCTAATAAATCGTCAACGGCTCAACGCGTTCCACATCAGTTAGATTTTAATAGACTTCAGATAGCCAATCACCAAATTATGCTCACATGGGAAAGCACATGTTGATTCGGTAAAGGATATCTCTTCTAACTTTCCAGATCACAATCCAGCCTTCGACCAAGTCTTTTTTCCTCCAAATGAGGATGCATGTCGAGAGCCAGTGGAGGTGCGGTAAGATAAATAATGCTGCCATAGACTGCTGCGCTTCTCACAAGCCCATCGGTTTGGCATGAATTTAGTCACAATGAGTTCATATCGATTCTCACCATGTCAGATTTGCCTAATATCTATCTCAGCTCTCCAGAGCTAGTCTCAGACATGCCCTATCTAATAGCGAATGTAAAAGGGCTGAGAAACAAGAACGTTCCGATTTCATAAGTCGCAACCGCGAAAAAATCAGTTGCCATTCTGCGACATGGTGTATAATTTTCGCAAATGTTGTGTCATTATTTCCCTTCCTCTCTTCTGGATTTTTTTAAACAGAACTATTATAGCTCGTCTTACGTCTTACGGTATGTGTATAGTAAAAATTCGTAATTCCACAATAGCTTTTCGCAAAGTACTTTTAGGGATCGGCCATACTATTCCAGGAGGTTGATTCCTGCGATTCATGTAACTTCTGCAATTCTTGTGATTCCCCGAATTCCAATGTGCGGCACTACGAATCGCTTTGCGAATTTCAGTATAGTGAAGGCGATTCATCGCACGCAGACTGCGGACATATCGGCGTCTCTCTAACCAAGCGCTCTTTCATTTCTCTTACCATCTGGTACTCCTCCCAAGTACGAACTATTTTGGCTGGACGCAACTGCACCCAGTTTTGCGCGTCATGGATCGTGACAGGTACATTGTTTTTTCGCAATATATATGGTTGTCCGGAAAATAATGTCGCTTTTTGTTTTATCATGCAATATCGCATCAGGTTGCGCACGAAAGTATGTGAATGGGGTATCAACCGATAGATCAGAGCAAGCTCCACAAAATGAAGCTCGAACCTTCGCGCCAGGTTTGATTTGCGTGAAGTTTGGAGCCAAATTTCACAAGGCACTCAAGATCCGAAAAAAGGAAAAAAACCGTATCTCCGTTCAGAGAAGTCCTGAGGACCCCTAATTTGCTCACGCATGGACTCACTATACGGGACACTCGTACGCGCATTTTCGCGGTTTCTCCATGGCTGAAACTTGAGAAAAAGGAAATTCGGCACATTTTTGCCAAAACAATCCTGAGCTTCTCTCACATGGGTGATTCTGTAGCATGAAACTTTAGGAGTATAACCGTGAATTTTCAGCTTAAGACAAGCGCTAGTTTTCGAGAAAAATCAAACTGTTTGCAAAAAACACGAAAAGCACGACATATTCGCACTTTTGACCTCTTTTTATTTCTCGTACTGGAGCCATGAAAAAATACCAAAAACTTACAGGTGAATATCTAGTGTGGAGAGTACATGCCTGTGCAAATTGGAGGTCCCTAAGACGTCGGTGAACGGAGATACGATTTTTCGGGCGTCTGAAATTTTTTATATTTTGGACTCGAACTTCAGTTGGAGCAACATCTCCGCGAAGATTTGTGAACTATCTTGTAGAGCTTGCTTTGCTCTATCGAATGGTACCCCACTCGATGTTCTTTGTGGTCATTCTGTCGCGGTAGGATGCCATGCGACATTATTTTCCGGACAACCTGATACATTATTGCGGGACTCGCAGGAACCATACGAATCGCAGAAACTGCAGAGTCACAGTAACAGAATGGCCAGTCCCTTATATGTACAGGGGGTCCCAAAAAAATGTGAACACCGTTTGGTTGTTGATAACTCCGTTGCTTTCATGTCTTTCGCAGAGCTTGAGACACATTTCTGTAGAGCGAGGTTCAACTTAGATTTATAGTATGGAGCGAATCACCGATCGCTCTTCGTTACTGTAGGATTACGGTATGAACTTCTAGCATGTGAATCCACTGTGAATATTCCATCTGACAAAATTATTTTCAAAAAATCTGAAAAACCGTGTACAAGAATTTTTGCTCGCGCTTATTCCAATAATCAACTTTTTACGAGTGTTTTTTAGCTTTTTTGACGGTGTAATCACATTTCCGATAAGTGCTGGAAATTCAGTTATTACGGTTTACCTGGGATAACCTTGGAAAGAAGCATCACAGTAAAGTGGAAATCTCATATTCGAAAACAGCGGCTTACAATACCATAGTATAAGAGTTTTCTGTTTGGTTTTGTTCTGAGGCAGGATATAGCCTCCAATGGCCTAAAATCCTTGTCGAATTTCCTACCGTAATTATGCAGTAATGAAGAGCGATCGTTGTTTCGCTCTATACTCTAGATCTAAATTGAAGCTCGCTTTATACAATGGTGCTTAAAGGCAGTGTCCGGGCAAAAAGTCGATTTTGAGATTTTGTGCTTACCCGCGCCTATTCGCTACGCTGAATCCGAAAATGCGTATTGGAGAGCGAGAAAACGGCGAAAACGGCTCTAACACGGGAGGGAAATCAGCAGGTGGGCGGGATCCTCCCCACTGTGAATTCACGCTTCCAGCTTCCAGAGCGATCCTCTCGGTTCAGATTTCAAGTCATGCATTCGCACCTGGCCGGTGGAGATCTCAGGGCGCTAGAGAAATTGAGAAGATCGCTCTAGAAGCTGGGACTGCGAAATTCACAGTGGGGAGGACCCCGCCCACTTTCGACTTCCCTCCTGCGTTAGAGTCCTTTTCTGCCGCTTTTGCGCTTTCCAATGTGGATTTTCGGCTTCAGCATAGTGAATAGGCCCGGGTAAGCACAAAATCTCAAAATCGACTTTTTGCCCGGACACTGCCTTTAAAGCTCGGCGAAAGACTTGAAAGCAAGGGAGTTATTGACGATCAAACAGTGTTCACATTTTTTTTGGGACACCCTGTACAATGCGTTCAACGAGGCCAGCGCCGCGTAGTGCAATCACACATTTACGCGCGCGCGTTACCGTAGGCGCGGCGTGCAGGGACCGCGCTGCGCACAACATTGCGGACCTTGTTTTTATCATAATTTTTCTTCTTTTGTAGCGCCGTATTGCCATTTTTTGCTTCTATGCTCATATGCAATTTGTCTTGATACCAGATATGATTTTTTCGCAGTTAAGGAAGCTGGTATCAAATCGATGAGCGTTTTTCTCATGACATCTTTCATTTCATCCAGGCCTTATTCAGATGGCTGAGTCCGGATGTCATGATTCATTATATCGACTCTGTTTCAGCGGGCATAATCGTATGTCGTCTGGTTTTGAATGAACAGCGTGTTAGCGCTGTTCACTCAAACTGTTCTCTCAACCTATACGACATACGATTACACCTCACTATCCACCTTTAGCTGTAAAGAGGAAGAGCACCAGCCGTTTTCAGAATTCTCAAATGAATGATTTAGATTGCATCTTTTGAACCTCAAACGTCCATTTTGTCTTCCAATTCGCGCAGTGATACTATGAGAAATCTCAGGAAGAGCACCGAAGTAGCGTTTTGGACAGTAAAAGCTCAGAGATTTGGAAGCAGGACAGCGAAGAAGCAAAGAAAGAAGAAGGAAGAGTAGCTAATTCAAGGACTACGCTGCTTTACGCGGCATGGTCCCTGCACGCTGCAGCCGACGGTAGCGCTCGCGCGCGGGTGTGTGACTGCACTACGCGGCGCTGACTCCTCAAACGCACTGTATATTAGATGCACCAAGTTCATGACTGCCTCCTTCCCTATTTTACGTCTATTTTGATTTTTATCTTGACATCATTGAAATTAGTTGCAAAACTTAGCGTTTCCACAGCGTCGATATTCATGAGCACAACAATTGGCAGATAGAACCGAACGAGGGTAGAATTCGAAAATAACGAACTTTTGAAGGGTGGTACAATCAACTTTTTGTCTGACCTAAGTGCAAGAAAATGTTCTCCGTACATTGTTGTTACTGGGTTACTATATCCGCAACAACATAAACTCTCATGGAATTCGATTACTCGCTAACACAAAGACATCACATCCCCTTCTCATCTTTCCATGTGTCAGCTGTTCAGATACACTGGAGAGATTCTAATAACACAAGGAGCCTCTGACCATCATAAAAGAATTTTCCTTCCCTTGGGTAGACAGATCTCCAACTTTCGGAAATTCCCGAATAAGATTTCTAATGTGCACAAGAGCTTTGTATATTTATTCTCAAAAGTTATCTCGTAATACTTGGAGTCATTGATGAAGTAAATTTCGCCTACACTATACAATTTGTAAGAAGTCGCGAATATCCTCACTCAGACAGAATCACAATACAATCTTCAGATAGAAACTCTCTTCCTCTAATATACAGTTCGCAGCAAGATGAGCTGGCTTGATAGAATATAGTATCATACATGGAATGATCATGATCAAGTCACAGACAGGGGCTTGTAGTACTAGAAATATAGAAACCGAGGAGGATCTACCAATGAACGAGCAACAAATCGCAGCGACCACCTGACAAACAGAAGCGGACTGTGTTACTCGGAATCAATTGAGTATGCGTGGCCAGAATCAACGGAGAAATATGAACTGCTGCACCTTACAGAATAGGAATATAGTTGTCAATCTTGGTGCGGTGTCGCTGTGATATGCATTCAGCAATCCAGATGATGTTGCGCATCTCTTGTTCCTTCAATTTAATGAAGGCATAGAAAACGCCAAAGTGGAATTGGTTTAGGTAAGCCAAGACGTTGAGTTTCACCTGCAAGATAAATGAGAAGTATGCGCAAGGAGGGATAAAGCGAAAACGAACCTCATATTCGAAGAATTTATCCTCCAAAGTCTTTTCTCCAGCAGCATTTCCAGAATTTTCGAACAGAGGCTTGTAATCAGAGTAGTATTCACACACTTGTTTGACCTGCTCGTAATCGTCTGCTCGAGCAAGTCCAACCAAACCTAAAAGTAATGTATAGCAATAGCTACTACAAGCAAAACAAAAAGAATAAAACCGCATTGAAAATAACTTTCAATGTATCAAACATATAGTTTACGATATAAAAGACAGATATACAACGAGTTACACATAAAAGATTTGATTCACCTTCTGGATACAATTTTCCACATCTGGGGTATAGCTTCTCGCGATCATCTTTGCTCAATTCTGTATCGAATGAATTGATGGTAATGATAATTGCTCGGCGATCAGCTTCAAACTAAATAGAATTACAATGTCCTAGATACATGCACAGTTATTCATTATTGGAAATCAGTTCGAAATGTGAATTCGAGACTCACAGCAAGGATTTCACACATGACTTCAGCGGTAGTGCCGCCCAACTTCTTGCAAAATTTGTAGAAATCTTCGATATACGCTTTATACAAAGTGTTCCTAATCAGTTCCACGTTCATCTCATCCAAATCCTGTTCGTTGATACAGTCAACAAAGTAGTTAGCTGAAAAGTCGAACGAGCATTTGTGATTTGAATTTTAATAAAGAAAGAAGCAGAGCAGATGACTTACCCAATGGAGTATCCACCAATACTGCATTATACAACTCTGCTGGTGTAGATGCAATGTGGATAGCTTCCATTTGCTCGAAAGAACCTGCAAGAGTGATGCACTTGAGTGTAGTCCAAATCATTGGCTAACAGTGTCGATAACCAGTCCTCTATCATTCGCCTCGCAAAAACGTAGAGGCTCAAATTTCCAATGTTTACTGACTAATTACTTGCAAGAACTTACTCTTTAAACAAGCTTTTGACATTTATACGAGAAAGGGCTTTGGCAACGCACATTTTTGAGAGAACTACGGGGGCCCTTTGCCCTCAAATGGGGTTCAAACAGATATTACATTAGAAAAACGATGGAGGTAGCAAGACGATCTTAAGAACCACTGAGTATCAAGAGCATTGATAATCATTTAGGAACAGAGCTTGTCATAAAACTCCAAATGAAATGAATATGGCAACCAAAGAATCAAAGAAAAGCACAAGCCTACCGAGTGGATGACATTTGCTGATGAGCTCAGAAATTGGGCGCTGGTGAAGGGTACCGGTGATGAGAAGGATGATATTGTCGATCATGTACGAATACCTGAAGAGATCAATCCAAGGAGGAACCTATTGTTAGAATTGAGCGTTGTAAGCTGTACTAACGTGATATAGTCGAGAAAAGTAGCAAGAGGTTCCAGCGCATTATTTCTGAGATGAGTGAATTCGGTGACCAGCTTCTCTTTCAGACGCTCATCGAGCACTTGCACCTTAAAAATAATTGTATCAGCTAATTCAAGCCAACAAGATCGCGGACTGACAGTGATTGATCCAGGCTCATTAGCCAAGAAGTTACCATAATCAGTTGACTGTATGTGAAGCTTCAAATCTATAAAGAATCAATACAATCTTGACAAAAAGGCTCATAGATACAACATACTCACCCTCTAAGGTTTCGCACTGAACTAAATTAGCATAATCTGTCTGAGATAGCAGGCCTCCTTTGAATCCTCGGATAAGAGCCTCGAGATATCCATGGTCGATGTTGAATAGGAATTCACCCATTGTTCGAAATCTAGAAATGTGAGAATGAATCCAAAACGGCCTTAACTCAATGCGAATCGAGGCATTTTTAATTCTCGGCAAAATATTGCGTGAGATGAAAAAGAGAGTAGACTAGAACGAAAGTTCTTGCAAGTAACCTTTGAGACCCTGAATTCAGATTGCGTTCATTTGTTTGATTATCAATTAATTTGATACGCACAAGGCGTTCCACACCTAGAACAATTAAAGGAACTACTAGGACAACATAAACAGCAACAAATAAAATATCAAAAAAAAACAACACTAAACTGTGACTTTCTAGCCACGGAGAAATGAGGCTAAAAAATGGTGTCAAATTCTGCTTGGGTTTTGAGTTTGCTAATTACTTCTTCGCACTAAGTACCTATTGAGATGGCCTATGCCCAATCATTCGTAAACTTTCAAGTGTGGTAGATTGCGAGATAAAGATTTCACGTTTCGTATTCAGAGCGAATGAATGAACTGGAAAGTTTCAAAAAAGGTCCATAGAATTACCGTAATTCAACATCGAATGCGGTATAGAAATCAGACTTTTGAGCAGATATGTATCATCGGCTCCCAGATTCGTGTGGAGGTGGAGTCTTGCCAACTCACCGCGTGGCGGATTTTGCTAGCGAGAGATTACGAGCAATGCTATGACGTGGAGGTTTAGCAAGTTTACATGTGTTATCAGGCGAAGTCTGCAATACACCTCCACACGAATCTGGGAGCCGATCATAAGTGTAACTTGGTCTTTCAAATCTTCAAGCCGGAATGTTGAGCATATTCTCGTAACTTTTTTGCCATGATAATTCCGATCTAAAACAAGGACTTCGAAGACTGATAGCCATGTTCTTTATTTTGCGGCAATTTTGTTCCTTTCTACTCCATGAATTCTGAAAGAAACTGCTTTGAACCCAATATTCTATAGCTGAAACAGATTATAGTTGATACTGAAAGAAATTACAAGATTTTTAACTTAATCTAAAGTAAATTACTCTTCAGAAGCTTTTTGTGTGATTCCTTGCTTGTAAAGTAATCAAAGGTGCGAAGAATGATTAGAGGCGCGAGGAAGTCTGGAGCTTTCAAGGCACTTCCCAAGCAGCGGCCAGCCTTTGCCGCCTCCTGCCTGACGTCCATATAAAGCCGCAGTGTTCTCGCTAAAAAAGGGAATGATCAGAAGTCGAGTGGCCAATCCAAGCAAGCTCCCTATCATTCGATGCAGCATTCAAATTCCACATCTGCTTAGCGCTTTTGTGGACGAAGCCATGAGCAGATTTATTGGGAAAAATCGAACACAAAAATTGCGAGATTGAGCACACTGTTGCTCATCTCAACTTCGGGCTTGAGAATATAAGGTAGCTGCATTTGGCCCAACATTAAGCCGAGCATGGCTCTGTACTGCCATATTTACATTTTGCATGCACGATTTCCTAGCAAAATAACGGTCTTCAACAGCTCATAACCTCGTCCACATAGGCGCGCAGATACGGAATACAGATTCGAAGTCAGCTTTATGCTGCCTCTAATGGTGTGCAGTTTGTTTGAATTGGCCACTTCGATTTCTGACCATTCCCTTGTAAGTACTAAGTCAAATTTCTGGTCTCGAATAATGTTCCTTCGAAGGAACTGCAGCAACAAAGGGGATTTTACTTGAGCGCGACATTGACATTTTCACGAATTTTTCGTTTTTGCACTTCATGCGAGATTGACGCCTGCAACAGCGATTTACAGTTAGTTAAGAATTTATGCAGATTTTTTGAGGCTGGATGGTTGGTCTCTGCAATTCTCTGGCAATGAACTTGCAACATCTGGAAGTCCAATCTTGAAAGCTTCGTTCTCGGTGGCTAGTCAATGAAAGTCATGGAACATTCACCAGGAAGCGCAAAACTTTGCAATTCTAAAGCTGCAAAATGACGAATTTTGATTTAGGACCTGAAAAGCTCTAGAGTTGTGTTCGGATTACGCAAAAATTTTTGTGCCAACCTAATAGCTTACAAACATTGAAAGCATTGTGACTGCATAATAAGTCGACAATCACTTGGTAATAGTAAGTGTAAGAGAAACAGCACAAGAAAACCACAACTTGACCACAGATAGGAGATAACTTGATGGATGTTGGGCACGATAGCTAGGTAATCAAGTCTGGGTGGAACCATTGATCTACTCCGAGAATAAATACATGAAAAGATGAAACGTTAGCTAATGCAACTTGAGTCAAAAGTATCATGTATAGGAATTCGATTTCCACAGGGTTTGTGTGATGATGAAAGGTGTCACTGAGGGGTGAAAACCCCTGTGCTCAAATGGAGATAAAGCTCCCATAGAACTCATCAATTAATCGAAAGAAGGGCACGAAAGATCAGAGGGAAAGGCGAAACGGGAAAAATTGGCCGCGGGGATCGATCGCTGGTCTCTAGCGGGCCTGATTCTCAGGCGAGGCGCGCAATTCGAAGCGCGGTTACGCCCCCGACGTCGCGCGACCCCGCCGCTGCCGGCACCTCACCGGCGGAGGGAGGGGGCTCCGCACTGCTGCTGCTGCTGGTGCCGTGCTCGATGCACCCATGGACAGCATCGCCCGGGTGTTCACCGTCGGTAACGGCTGTAAGGCCGTCCGGTACGACGACGAGACTACCGTCGAGGTAAGTGGTCCCTACGGGTAGTGACTTCTTTATTTTTTTATGCGTCTTCAACTATTTTTTGGTATTTCCTCTCCTTCAACTCCATCTATCGCCCTATACTTACAGTTGCTGTATCAGCTGTTGCTCGATTTCTTTCTTTGGCATATCTCAAAAACAGCATTTCCTCTACCTCCCTTCCTTTACCTGCAAAAAGTGAACTGCTGCTTTGTCACATGACTACCCCTCAATCACATTTGGGTGAGAAAAATGGTATAAATCCATCTCTTAATTTACATGATGGTTCTGAAATGGCTGAGATTGAAATGTCATTGTTTGATTCCAACACAAGATGCTCAAAGTTTTTTCCAAAAGGTTGGATAGGTTCTTTTTGAAGAAAATCCAAGTCGAAACGTGATGGGATCGTTTTCGTCAGCAGCGATTGCTGGAATTGTGTGATTAGCAGCGGGGACATTAAACTGCAGGAAAAAACCAGATGACAATTTACCAGCTGTTTGGTCTTTTATTTTATGATTCTGTTAACTACATTCTGCGTAGCTTTATCTGATGTTAAGGAACTTTTTACTGGCCATCGTGCGCCTCTTTAGCACACAATTTTCCCACTTAAACTCATCAACGGCTCAAGAGCATCTATGCATTGAGGGTCATTATTCTTGACAACACTTCACACTTCGTTCCTTTCAGCTGTCCTGCTCACTTAATTGAATTAAGTGGTCTACTTTGTCTCATAAATTTGATTCCCTTAAAACAGCGTCAGCATATGTTCCTCACTGGTGCCGGATATCATTTTTCCACGTTTCTTTCGTGCATATCGACGGCTATCGCCAATATTTCTTCCGTTCTCTGTCCCATTTGTTTTCGCTGAAGTTGTTTTTACTGCTCAGATCTTATCAATCAAATGCTTTCGCCATATGTTCGAATTTTGTCGCCTCTGGTCTAATTCGTGTGCTTAGGGATCATTGAGAACACATTTTAGCTAGAGCAGTCCCTAATGGAGCTGGTAGCAGAAATCTGCAGCCATCTTCATATTTCTTTACTCGATTATCTCGACTTGGTTCACAGTAATGTGCATCTAAATCAGCTGCACATTTATTAAAAAAAATTCAGAATTCTCCTTAGAACATGAGTTATGACAGCAATCAGAACAACTTTTCTCGTCCCAAAATCGAACATTTTCAGCTTGCACGTAAAGTTTTGGGGCAGCGTTCCTTTCCCTTTTGTTTGCTGGGACGTTTGAAGGAAAGTAAAAACATGAAGCTATTATGTTCTGTCCTACATCCGTTTCCTTTTCTCCTGGACTGGAGAGTTTTTGCTTTGGCTGGGTGCAATCTATACATCATGGATGAAATATGGAGTTCATGCTGCTTCCCTCCAATTCAACATTTGACGAAAGCTGGCTTAGTGGTAAACGAATTGCAACTACAGTTTATTTCTAAACATCTATATTAAACATTTTTTACTAATTTGAGTCAGATGAGCTTGTCAGTATCATTTAGCTTACAAGGGAAACATGTTTTGTTAAAGTTGCCTCTATACTGAAGAGCACAAAATGTTGATACCAAATCTGCCCTCCTTATTAGCGGAGCGCTCATGGACAAGAAGTTACGAGCTTTTATTAGAGCAAAAAATTACATGTGCAAATAGGACGAAAATTGTCGTAATATTTTTATGCGCTTTAATGAAGCAGTAATGATTAACAGAGTCTCTTAATCAATACTCTCCTTTTTGAAAAATTTATCACTTCTGGTTGCTTTATTAAGTGCTTGGGGGATTTTAGTAATTAATTTTATCACGGATGACATTTATTTGCTTCAATAAACGCTTGTAACTTCTGGTCCAAAAGTTCGCAGATAAGAGAGACAGATTTGGAACCAACATTTTATCCTCTCCGATATGGTACATCTCATCTAAAGACCCCACTTCAACTAAATATGGTGCCCTTGTAGCATAAGATTTTCGAAGTTGTTGCTGCATTGTTCGAATACAATGACTGTTTTTCCAGAATGAACTACAAAAACGATTTTTTATTTTTATCATCTCAATACTAGTGCTACCTTCTGATGCCGAAGCTGCCTGTGTCGGCGATAATTTGTTGTTCTGAATGGTGTGTGTGAGGGAATATCGCCCTCCGTCTATTGCATTAGCATAGGCTACTCCCTGGCTGGCCGAGGAAAAAAGCGTGGGAATGAGAATTAGATGCTTGTCGATTCCCGGGCTGCACTATTTTTCAAACCAACGAGGGTAGAGACTCTTGGCCATCGACGTTCCACACACTGCTTTTCACTCACTCGTGCGAACTCACACACTGGGCCTCACTTCTCCGTTATTCTTTCTACTAGTTGCACTTTAACAGCAGAACAGCAGCAGCTGCTTTCACCCCACACATCGCACGAGATTTTTCAAATTACTGGGCAGTTTTGAAGAACAGTATTTTTTTCTAATATTACTTGTTAGCATAATTTTGATTCTGTCAGAGTCTTAAGCATGATGCGAAGTCAATTGGCATAAATATGAACTGAGAACTTTTGAAGTGTAGTTTATACTACTAGTACCTATTTTGTACCTATTTTCAAGTTAAAATACAAATTTGTAAGGATAACAAGTGCTTTAATTATTAATCATTTGAATATTTAGAAACATCTAATGCGTCGCATATTTTTCCAGTACAAATTGCATCAAGCTCAGCCAATCAATCAAATCCTCGGACTCATGATAGAGCGGTCTTTTCGTTTTTACACACTTGATTCTCGGTGCATTAGTGAAATTAACGACAGCGCTACGAATCTCGAGTTTATGCGCTTGAAATTTGAGTCTTCGGAAGGTGGCATAAGCTCCAAATCGAATCTTGGCATCCACTATTTGCAAGGAAAAGTGAAAGCCTTTTTTATTTACTTCTTTTATATTAGGTTGGCACGAAAGTTCTTGCGTAATTCAAACAAAATTCAATAACTTTTCAAAGACTAAACCTAAATTCACAATCTTGTATGCTAAAAATATTAGAAGCCTTACGCTTCATGATGGATGTTTAAGCGTAAGATTCCGTGAGCTGGACATCAAGAACGAAGCTCTCGAATATGGCGCTTCAAATTTTGCGATTTTGAGATTGGTGCCAGAAAATCGCAGAGTGCCGCTAGCTAGCCGAAAAAAATCTGAAGAATTTACTTACATAGCAAAAGTCCATACGTTATTTTAGCAGGCTTTGATCTCGCATGGAAACGCGAAAACAAAAGATTTGTGAAAATTCTCATTTCACAGGACAAATCCGCTTATCGCTCTAACTTTTCCACAGAAACACAGTTTGCAACCAGAAATTAGACATAGTGCCTATTTAGAGCCTTGCGACGTTTTCTCGATTGTAAAAAAGTGTTTTCGCCGGAAAACTGCGGACATGAGGGGATTTTTTCCGCAAAATGACTTATTTCACAAATTTTTTGTTTTCGCTTCACCGTGCAAGATCAAAGCCTTCCAAAGTAACATATGGACTTTTGTTGTGTAAGTAAATTCTACAGATTTTTTTCGGCTAGCTAGCGGCACTCTGCGATTTCTGGCACCAATCTCAAAATCGCAAAATTTGAAGCCCCATATTCGAGAGCTTCGTTCTTAATGTCCAGCTCACGGAATCTTATGCTTAAACATCCGTCATAAAGCGTAAGGCTTCTAATATTTTTGGCATACAAGATTGTGAATTTAGGTCAACTCTTTGAAAAGTTATTGAATTTTGTTTGAATTACGCAAGAACTTTCGTGCCAACCTAATATTTTCGCCGTGGAAAACACGTATAAATTCAAAAGTCTGAAATCAAAACAATTTTTGAATTTCAGCCACAGGTGTTATCAAAATTCTTTTTTCCCCGACATCTAGAGTCCGCAACTTACGGATTGGCTTTGTTAGAAAAAAATATGTCCAAGATTTGGACAGACTAATTTACTCGGCGAATGAAACCTACCATCACAAATGCGTTTCCAAACGGATAATTTTTGCTTTCTACGATCACCTTCGTAGAATTCAGTTGCAGATGTTTTTGAGTTGTCTTTTAATATAGGCTTATAGTACTCATTTACAGATTTTGGACTTATGTTACAGATTGTGATTGTTTTTATGGAAATCATTCTTTAGAAGTTTGGATTTGAGTAGATCCTGCAGTTAATCAGGTTTTGCAAAAAGTCAGAAGAACGGAGTGCTTGCTAAAATAAAAAATGAACTTTTCGTGCCCCTTGCACATTTTTGAGAAGATTTTTTGTTACGTTTTTGTCTGTGCATGAAAACTGATAACATGGCTTAAGTCTCCTTTCTGCAGAGAAAATGAGCAGTTTCTCACGTCTAGTAATAATGACTACACAATGCTTGCATAATGAACCAACTAGCATCCTTTATTTCTCTTTGCTCAATCATTGTTCAGGGTTTTCGATTCCTGGCGCTACCATGACTCACCACCAGCTACGTCATAAAACGATGCTTGCCACCGTTTTATTATGAGACGACCTTTTATGTAAATGATGACACATCCAAAAAAGGATGACGATGCAAATGGCTGCTCTGCTGCAGCTGCCCGATCTAAACGAACCAAGGACATCATGTCAGAGCAACGTTGTTGGACATTTTTGCAAGCAATGATATGAAATTTCTGCGCTCGTTTGCGCTGGAACAAATTCCATTATACAAATCCATGCCCGAGCTGACGCCGATGGCAGTTCACCCGTTCTCGCCAAACTCTCTCGGGATTGCGCATCTGCGTATAAACATCTCCGAAATGTCGCGAAATTCTGTGAGAAGATCGCAGTAAAAGTTTGATGTGACTGGCACGTCGCAAGGGCTTAAACATAACAAATCTGATTGAAAAGCAGCTCCATGGGGTTTCAAGCATTTCAGTGCTATGTTTAAAATTGTGCATAATAGGAAATGCTTTGGAAAAGCAAGTCACATTCTTACTTGCTAACGAAATCACTATTTAGCGGTGAGAATGTTCGTGTTTTACAACCACTAGATTTTCTGTTTCGTAAAAATTGCTAAGCGATGCGCTTGGGCTTGGCTTGAACGTTGAAATAATGTCTAGGAGAAGCTGCATCGTGCAAATTTTACTTTGGCCTTCTGCTGCAGAGTGTATCCAGCTCTTACTGAAAAAAAGGAAAATTGGTCAGTTTTCGCTTTTGAAATTCTTTATTTCTGAAATGCAACGAATGAATGTTGGTTCTATTGGGGCTCATTATCTTCGCTAACCTCTCATTCCTAAAGTTCTAACCGGACGTCAGCTTTCATGCTTGATGTCAGTTGTTCTCGTATTGATATGATTGAAGTCATGTTACTGTCCGCAACATGGATTACACTTAGCTGAACTTCACAATTTGAATGCGTAAAAACATCCAAAGCATAACCTATGATTATCATTTGTTGAATAGGTGGTAATGCTAGAGTATTACTATTCCATAACATCATCTTGTATGGGTTGTTTGCTGTTGAAGTCTTTGAGAAAAGAAAGATCTACAAACAAAAGAAAAGCTGTGATGCATAACAGAGTAGCAAATTCTCACCACCTCTCGCTCTAATTTCGCAAGGAAAAGTCCATGGTCACCTGAACGCTCTAAACAACGGATGCATCTTGGAGTGCGAGTTTGAGGAAATTTTCATATCTTACTTCCCTATGAGCATTTCTTTGACCAGTTTAACTGGTTTTAGTTCATCAAACTTGAAGGTATTGGAAAAACTGTTTTTTCCTTTTCTGAGGTTTTGCTTTACATCCAATAGAACGAATGAAACGGCAGGATAAAATCCCAATTTTTCCTTTTCTATGATGGCGGAACGTTTGAAGTTAATTGTTCCCTGAGGGATAATTTACAACATTGATTAAGTGCAATATAAAAAAACGTGTCCATAACTCCGAATATTGATGAATTGCAACAAATGAAAGTGTTCAAAATCTTGAACGTTGATGGACTGCTATAGAAACAAAGGGATCACTTATACTGAACTTCTCTTATTTGATCTTTCTCTGAAATTCCTTTACTTATTTCTCACCATGTTTTCGTAGAGACTGAGTACAGATTTCGAATGGTTGAAGGAGAATTGAAGATTGTACTGGTTTACATCTAATCATGACTAAACAGCTCTTTTCCTTCTCGAGCAACGTTCTCAAATTCCACCTCACTCTAATCTAATGGCTTTCAATCAGCTTCCTTTTTTCTATTTCATGCTAACTCAAAGTCGTTACTATAAAAAAACAGGAAATATTATATTTGTTGGAGCAAAGCAAGCTCAGCAAGACGGTCTTCAAACATCCGCACAGTCTGATACAAATGACGTTTGAAGGCTTAAGAAATTCTAGATGCTTACAAATAAGATCTCTTTCCGAAACAATCCTACATATCTCCAACTTGCTCATGCATATACTTTTCACATCTTTTCACACCGTATAAACAGCTGCTGGTTTTTTAATCACATAAACGATTGCTCATTTATTTCCACGAATCAAGCGCTACCACTTTCTCGTTAACTTTCGAATCAGTAATTATATAATTTCCGAGGTACCTCGTCTTTTTTCGCTTTTGAACCACTTAGTAGCTAGTTCTTGAGACTCACGAGTAAAATGATGTCGATTCGTGTCTGAGTAGTTATACAGCGAACAATAAATAGAGTACGAGAAACAAGACTAGGTCGAACATACATGAATTGGCTTTCAGGTTCGATTTTAATAATTTTTTCGGAGCTCTGAGTTTTGCATTGATGGCAACAAAGTTTGCCGCTGCATCGGCCATTTATGTTTTTTATCATTCATTCATAAGGTAGTTTTTCTTCCAATCTAGCCAATTTGGCATGTTGTGTTGGGCGAAATCTCTCTTATTCAGTTTAATCTGCAGCTGCAATTCTATATCTCAAATGACGTAAAAGCTTTTTTCAAATAAATGCAGCCATTTTGGTTATTAGTTTCTCCCATCATGTTACGCTTTTGCAAAACTAATTTTCAGCGAGTGCTACAAGTTGTTTTGCAAGGAATTGGTATCGCGACCGTTGCTCATGCTCATTTTGCGCTCCGGCTAATATCTGGAACATCCCCGAGCAACTCTGGTGAGATCTACCCTTTTATTCTTACATTTGACCTTTCTTTGAAAGTGTAATTTAGGCGATTACGTATGGTTGCATCCTTCTTTGCTCGTCTCAAATCTTCGAGTGGTTTACGCTCGATTTCTCCCTTCCACTTCCATCTCACAAGAACTTCGGTTAGTCGTTTCTTTTCATGATTTTTTACTTGCAACATTGGTGGTATATTGCAACGAATCAATTCGATCAACTATATAATTTGCAAGCTGATCTCGTCATAGTCTCGCTTTTGAACGACTTTGATTTCAAATGTTGGGCATTGTAGCGATTGAAAAGACGTGGATTCCTGTTTGAATATGTACGGCCAAAAAATGAGTCTTCAAAAGTTTTTTACTACTATAGCTGCCCAACATTCTATACTGATCTTTGTATTGTTTTGATCCCCTGGGTCAGAGCACATATGTCCACTTGGCTATGTAGTGATTGTCGGTAATTAGCGAATGGTTGTAATGACGTACGATGCTAGGCTAACATCACTGCAGGTGCGAAGACACGGATAAAAGCATAAAATTCTGGGAAGATTACTTTAAAAAGACCTTTACATACAAGTTCGAAATGACATTTCTTCCTTGTGTTCCTTCGCATTAAGATAAAGGTCTTGTACTGGCTTCAGCGATGTAGTAAGAAGACACGGATCGCTGTCGTGACTATCTTGACATATGTCAAAGGAGAATGCGCTGCATGTCTGAGACTGAGAAGTAGTTGATTTGGGGCAATATAACGTCATTGACCCATAATGTCGACATTTTGTCCGTCAAGTTTTTTCCGCCTGTGATTCATTCGGCTAGCCAAGCGTACACGGGTGTAGTTCAGAACAGGGTAACAGTTTCTGACAATCTAGCTGTTGCAATTAGGGACATTTAGTATCGGAAGCACATATCCCGCTTGAGTTATCTTGCATCGCGAATTGCACTTCTCTTACCAATAAGTTTTTTGAACGTTCAGTCCGCTGTAAGGACAAAACGTCAGAGCCAGGGCTCGGCATGAGCTGGCAACAGAGAAATTTCAAAACGAAGTCCTCTTTGATCTTGAAAATTCCGTACGAAGTCCCCTTTGACCTGTTTTGCATTTGCTTAGGGCACGCTTTGTGACTGGAGCAGATTTTTCGACCGCGGGGCAGACCGAGACATTTTCGGATGGCTGTAAAACGCCAAAAAGAAAACGTCACGAAATGGTTTTTCCTCTTTATGTAAACTTTTACAGTGTAGATACAATCTGTGTAAAAAAGTATGAAAACTTATGCGAGCAAAGGGTCGGTGCCAGCTCAGCTGGCACCCAGCTGGCACGGTGCCAGCTACTTCAAAAAAAGTTCAGCACAGCTTTCGTTCAGTTAAGTTTTCATAAATTTTTGGGCCATAGTTCGGGTCCCCCAATGCACATGCACACATCAAATTTGGTGTCGTATGATTGCGTTTTGTTTGCAAACAAGGCATTTGTTGGTTTGGGGCAGAATTCCTTCCCGCGCTGTGTTAGCACCGGCATGGCGGCGGCATACCGACAGCATGCCGTTGGCATGCGAGAGGTACTGGCTGCATGCTAATGATCAGAGGATCATATCATGCTAATGATCATAAAGGCTAAGCATGCTGTCGACTTGCCAGCCGCCTTCCGGCGGCGTTCCCCTGGCATTCTAGCAAACAGCGGCTTCTAACTCGCAAAAACGATATCCTCTGCTTTCCGCCCCAACAACGATATCCACGTTGACCCGGTGCCAGCTGCGCCAAGCCCTGGTTAGAACTTGGCTTTGCTTTTCCGTTCGAAAAGATTTCCTGTTTGCAGCGGATACGTAAAAAAAATTAATGGAAATTTTGAGAGTAATATCTAGATTTCAATCACATTATGACCTTCTGAATACTTTAGACGATTTTTGTGTATAGTTGTTTATCGGCCAGCATCCATCTCCCTCTCGCGCGCTATAAAAGTTAGCATAAATGATGCATAACTTTTTTGACTGTAAATAATATTGTAAAATCAAATTAGCTGACTGGTTTTACAAATATTATTGGCGGCGTGGCGGCAGCCATGTCCTCTTTTTCTTTAAGTAATTGCAGGCTTTATTTTATTTTATTTTATTACGTAGGGAGACCCTACGGAAAACAGATAAAGATCAACAAAACAAACAACAAAAGATCAAAACAACGTCATAACGAAACAATTAACAAAATTCACTTTTTTGCAAATGGCTCCTTAACAATCGTTTGAACGAAGCCAGCTTAGGAACAAACACTCGTTCACGTATAAGCATATAGTATAGGATTACAAGTAAAAGTTGAAAAGCATCCTAAATATTTTTTCTGGAAACGTAATCCTTTTGTTCACTAGTTTGTTATACCTTCCTCTCCCCCACCTTCCTCCCCCCCCCCCCCTCCCCACCTCCCCGCCCTTGGGATAATTTCTCAGACCCATTGCTATCGTCCGTGAAAACATCTGCACTTGCTGGATAGTGTTTCAACCTTCTGAAGATGAGAAATAGAGACGAGCAGGGTCATTGCCCTCTTTCGCAGAGGATCTATCAAAACACTTTATTCCACTATCTTCTGATCTGTGTTGGAGTCAAAACATATGCCGTATATAAGCGCTTCAAAAGTAATCGAGGTTTTTCGTTTGTGGTCTTGTATCTCTCCCGCTTTTCTATGGAAACCAATACAACTGCACATTTCTGGTCATGGTGTAATATGATGGCTCCGTCTGTGGTTTTTCGCAGTTTTCCATCATTTCCGCACACTAACGCCTCGGAGCTGTCGGTATGTCACACCTCATCAAAACTATGAACGCCATCTGTGTGACTCGACTTTGATCCGGTCGGCACCGATGGTCTTTAGTTTGGGGCTACTTATTCAAGGAGTACCATTGAGTTGATTGCGCTTATTTAAAGTCAAAATGAACGTTTGGGGAACAGTTGCGTCATTGCAAACTTGCTTCACTCGGCTTTGTTGGTGTAAAACACTAAAAGGTAGCTAGCTATAAGGAATGCGTTTTTAAATAGTTCTTGCATAGGTTCGAACTACGCCTTCGGTTTATCCCTCAGTCGGCCTATGAACTTCTGTTGACCGAATCAAACGCCTTCTTCTACCTCAATGAACAGGTAAGTGGTGTTGGCTCTTTGTTCTGATTCTTAGTTGTTCACCAAATCTGTTGAGTCTTTAAGAGAGTCATGGTAACCCAACACAAACTCAATGTAAAATTTGATAGTTAACGGGCTAGAAATATTGCTCACCTTCTAATCTCATAAATCAAATTTATCGTTGTGTATAATAGACGTCAGCCGAGAGGGAAATGTTTGTTGACTGAATTTTTGATTTGTATAGATCGTTAGCACATTGCTATGCTTTCTCGTGAATCATCCAACATAAGTATCCATAAGAAAGCGATTACGTCAGCTGTGCCTTTCCAAGGTCGCCATAAATAACTTACATTAGATAGGATTTGGAAACTCCTCTTAAGCGGTGATTGGCGCGAAATTATCAAACTTTCACTTTTCTGCGCTTAGACCGTCTGTCTGTTTGTCTGTCTCTGTGTGTATATCTGTCTGTCACGAAATTCATAGAGCCGGTTGCAGCAAACATTTCGAGCCAGAATTTTGCAAAACGCAGTCACCAGCATGTAGGTCCTCCAAAAGCCGAGCGGGCGTGGAACCTAAGGAAACTGCCATCAAACGGATCCACGCGAATGGCGCGCAGAACCAGGCCGTATTTGGACTTTTCACAAAGTCGGAATATATTTGACATGTTGTATATCTATAAGCCAATAACTTTAGTCTAAAAACGTGACCAAAATTTTATCAAATTGCGCATACGGCGCCAAAAAGAATTGGCTATATAAATGCTCAATTTGCAAAGATTTTACCTGAACCGCTTATGAAGATTTTTGTGCATAGATGTAGCCCGCGATGATTATTGTCATCAAGGCGACTACCAAGCTATGAAAGCCCAAAAACCTACATTGAATCAGTTTAAATTTGCATTTGTTCTTCTGGAAAAAGTTACGGAATAATCTCGATAACTTAAGTACAACAGAAGCACGTGTGATGGATACAGACTGGCCGTTTAAAGAACATTATCGTCTGCAGAAGCTTTGCTAGCAAAATCCATATCCTTGAAATCTCACTTTTGCTGGTACAAAGGGACACAGTAAACAGTAACAGTCCGCAATCGTTACTGTTTCTTCATTACAGACACAGAAATTTCTTTTTGCTAATCAGTTAAGGGAAAGGAAAAACCATTACTTATATTTTCCTCGCAAGGTAAGTGAAGTATAGCACCTGCTCGACTTTGCTCCGACGTTTTTTGTTCCGCATACCGTCTAATATTCAGCATTTGATTTTAGCGTTGAGCATCAGCTGAAGTCAGCCTCAGTGTTAATGATTTAGAGCTAGAAAAATCTACTTTTGAGGCTCATAAATTAAAAAGTCTTATTTTCTGTTTCTCTTCCAGGTCTTTGAAGACTTTCTCAGTCATGTGGCTTGGAAGGTTAGTCAGGAAGCTGCACTTGAACTTGCTGCCCTGAAGGTTTGCCGAGATTGTATAGAAAAACAAGCGTAAGTTGTTAAACACATATCTCATCGATGATCTGACCTAGTAGTTTTCAGCAGATCATGCTTGGATCATCGAATTGACATCGATGCAATTGATTTGGAAGCTGCTATGCAGGCATTTATTCCAAAAACGGTGTTGTGTACGGGAACTACAAAGGTAGGCCCACAAAGTCCAATTTTATTAATTTTCATTTCTTATCGGTATCACGTCCAGCCGTCAACCTTGAGACGACAATTCGTGCAGCTGTTGAAGAAATTCGCACCACTTCCGGCCACGGAATCTGTGCTTCGCTCGCTCTCCATCCTTATTGATATAGTCAAATTCGACGTTGAAGTCTTCAAAGCTAGTATGGGGGTGTGTTTTTGATTTCTGCAGGCTTGACGGTATATTTGAATTCAACATTGCTCATTTTTTGGAGGTTGGTTGGGCATCACCGGTCGATTTATTGGTAGGTCCAGAAGTTGGTTTGTCTTATAGGATAAATGAACGATGTGAGGTTAGTTGAAGACTGCGTACCCATGGTTTTTGCAAATATGTGTGTTTAGATAACTCGATTGGCAGAATTACGGTCCATACTAGAAATCACTATCAAGAGAATGGAGCAAAGCACTGATAAAGCCATTGTACAGTTGAAAATCTCTGGTAACGCTCAACCCATGGTATGCTTTCGCTCTTGATCTCGGACTACCACAATCAAGTTTTCGCTACAGTTGATCACAGTGGCCACCCAAGACATCGCCGAGTCTCTAGCGCATCTTATCGATGGTTACCAGATGATGTATAATCAAGGAAGTTCCGTGTACCGGATGAAGGGTTCTCTCTATGTCCTTGCTCCTTCTTCAAACTTTGGTAACATTATGTTTTAGGCCTTGAACGATGTGAAAGTGTTGATTTGCGAACCAGTACTTCTCACCGACCGCATAGCACAAACTCTGCAGGTAGATCGGAGATGTTTTTGAGTATATAATTAGCTAAAAATGTTATTGTAGTGAATCATGACCTCCGGATACGAAGGGAACATGTTACGCTGAAGGAGCTGATTGGTGGGGGACAGTTCGGAAATGTCTATAGAGGCACTTTTGCTGACCCGGTCAGTTTTTTTGTCCGAATTTTCATTTAATCATATCTGTGATAGTAGTAATCATTTCATAAGAAATTTTGTTAGTTGATAGGATGTTATCAGATGTCTAGACATCCAAATTACTTGAAAAGGTGCAAACCACTGCATCTCGAACCTTACCTTCTATAAGAGTTCGGTTTAGATATTTTGCACATATCTCAAGAGCGGTCAAGCAATAGCGAATCACTGTCTGTACAAACTAGAGTCTAGCTTCAGCGGGCTGGGCAGTTTCTCTGCGGTAGTCACAACATTTGCACATGAGAATTGCCCACAAGCGCAACAATGTTGAATTCTGCTGTCATCATCCGTGCATCAATGTTCACTGTTTAGGCATCATAATTATCTCAAATTCGCTGAGTTGTAAACTCAGAATTTTTCAGGGTGGACCTTCCATGACCGTAGCTGTCAAGGTGTGTAAGATGGAGAACGAACCGACAGACACTCAGCTGATATTGCAAGAATCTCGTATGTGGACGAATATTCCTTTTCACATGCAGCAGATGTTGCGATTTTAGATTTAATGAAGAATCTGCAGCACGAGAACATAATCTCTTTGATTGGTGTTTGTATGGATGCGCCGATGTGGCTTGTTATGGAGTTAGCACCTTTGGGCGAGGTTAGGTACCATCATAACATAGAATCCGTATCGTTGACGATAAAGGCAATGCAGATGAGAAACTGTAAAAGTTCGTCAAATTTTACAATATCAGAACTTGAAAGTTGGGTTAGACAAATTATTCTAAAAAATTGATGTTTTTGAGCTTTCAAAACAACATCGACCCAGTATTAGATTGAATGTTTCCGTTTATTTGCCAGTTATACATGTTTTTAGCTTCGACAATACCTGCAGTCAAATCGAGCATCGTTGTCGCTTACGTCTCTGTTTCTTTATTCACTTCAAGTTGCACGTGCCATTAGCTACCTCCATGAAAAATCATTCGTCCACAGAGACATAGCGGCAAGGAATGTGCTAGTGTCTACTCCAAAATGCGTAAAACTGACAGACTTTGGCCTCAGCCGGGCTCTTGACTACGATGCGATCTATACGGGTAGGAGAAGCTTGTTGGTAGCACTGCCCTGTCTTCTGGCTAATCTTATAGTTTCCAGCATCTAGAGGAAAACTCCCTATCAAGTGGCTCGCCCCAGAGTCGATCAATTATCGGGAATTTAGCATGGCCTCTGATATCTGGATGTACGGTATGTTGCCCCTCTTCAAAACCGAGATCCGCCTCAGTGTTGCTCGCGTAGGTGTCTGTGTCTGGGAAATCCTTTCCTGGGGAGCGAAGCCTTGGCAAGGTGTCCCTAATGCTGATGTGATCACCAAAGTGGAAGCAGGAACACGTCTTGCTTGCCCAGATGCCTGCCCCAAAGTCCTATACCACTACCTGGAGTTTACGGTATGGTCTCTGCAACCTGCCAAGCGGCCAACTGCCAAGGAAATTGTATCCGTACGTTATAAAACACTTAGATATATAATTCATGGTTTGAAGATCACAATCTGCCCATATGAAACTTGGTCTTTTAGATAATGGAGTCAATACATGAGCAGCTGAAAAAACACACCCCACCAGAGGAAATACACTTAGCCCGTCCCACTCAGGTAACATCTGAAGCTCGGATTTCCTTACTCTGCCAAAAATCTCAAAAAAAAAATTGTCTGGAAACTAAGCTTCGGAGTAAATCAAAGTTTTTGTAACACTAGCAAATTCTAGAATGTACCCGTGCTTCTAACCAACATAACTGCGCTGCCGAATCTGACCCTCTGGAGGACATTGGAACAGCAGAAGAGGCAAGGTGAAGAAGACGACAAATGGTTGGACGAACAGGAAGACCTCGTAAGTTAACATGATTTTTATCAAGGATAGATCACAGATGGATATTTTTTCAGACAGCTTACGACCCTACCGAAGAAGTGGAACGTGCTCACAATGGATTTGCATCAACAAGTGGAACAACTCCTAATGGTTCGATTAACGGTAGACAGAGCAACGGGGTAGGAACTAGTGTAACCGCTAATTTTTCAAACACAGGTCAAAAGGAAAAAATCCCCTCTCACAAGTTCAGCGAGATAAGGCCAGTAAACCGTCATGCTTCAGAATAATATTTGTGATCTTCAGAGGCAATCTCCAAGTCTCACAAGTGTGTGCCGCGCTGTAACTGCTGTCACTGAGGCTGTAGATCGCTTATGTAACACTTTCAACGTCAACATGAAGCACGACGACTTCGTTTCTAGTATCAGAGTAAGTCATCAGCATTCTAACATTTTTCTATTTGATTGAGGCATATTTAGGACATCACTTCGAAATTGCGGGAAATGTTCGCAGAGTCGACGGATGTGCTGGGGCAAATGCCTGAGGAGAAGAGAAAAGAGGTGATGGCTTGCTACAAGCTGATTTTTATCACTGCTGTTTTGTAATTCCGTATTGCCTTAGGTGGAAATGAGCGAAGCTTTGATTGGAAATGACATGCGACAAATGGGTAAAGTTGTACAGCAAGTCGTTGAAAGTACAAATAATCCGGTGAGTTTGCCAGTAGTCACTGCAACCTTTCATAAAAATTTTCGGCAAAGGATAAATTGAAAATTGTTTTGATTATCGGTATATCATTGTCATCAGTTCAACAATAGTTAGTCAAGAAAACATCTCGGAACTTGTCAGTTAGGTAAACTTCGTATGCATGAAGGCATCAGCATTACAGCATGGAGTGTTGACACCTCAGTTCAGTACAGTTAAAATCCGTAGGCAGAGCGCTTTTGGGACATTTGTGGGATCTGGGGCGATATGTATCAATCGCCCGTCCGGGTAAGGCTTCCCACTCAGGTATCATCCGCTTCATAGCTCAGTGCTCTGCGGATCTGTGTTCTTCCTTATTGTCCATCTTTTGAGGGCCCACTGCCCTAATATTGTAGCATAATGAATAGCAGGACCTTGCTGCTTAAGCTGAGATTTTCGGTATTTTGTATGGTCCCCAACGAGATTCTCATGGATCACGGCTCATTTTCAAAGTCATTTATCTTTCCAAAAACTCAATGAAGACACCATAAAGATAAGCTGTTGATCTATTATGAAGTGCTGAGCACTTCTGTTGAAGTAATGAGTGAAAATCAAGTTGATGAAATCTTCTATGAATCTCTATTCGCGGGTTGATTTATCGAAAAACGAAACTTCCACATTTTATCTGGGCTACTGGAAACATGCTTAGCACTGTCATAATAAGTGTACTATCTGAATGAGAACCCTCAGAATCTGCTCGGGATCCTACAAATTACCGAAAATCTCAGTTTATACAGCAAAGTGCTGCTATTCATTATGCTACATTATAATGGTAGTAGGGCCTCCAAAAGGTGGACAAACAAGAAAGAACATCCCCAGAGCCCCAGAGCACCGAGATATGAAGCCAATACTATCTGAATGGGAACTTTCATCCGGACGGGCGATTGACATATCTCGCTCCTGGTGGCAAAAACAATACCTTTTTGGTGAATCGCCACCGCTCTAAAAGTGGTTTTTTATGGGCATCTTTGTTTTTTTAACAATGATCAGCAAAGTAAATATCGTTCTGGGTTACAGTTGATACCCTATTTTCAGGTGTATAAGCTGCACTCTTTCCAATCTAAAGGCGAACACGCCAAAAGACTGATTGTCATCATGGAGCGCGTTAAGTGAGAGCAGTATGCGATAAGGCGACCGCTTCGCGAGACATATGCGCGGCGCACGCCTGGGTCTGCTCGCGTTTAGAGCAAAAAGGGTGCGGCTTATACACCTGAAAATAGGGTACTTAAATGCTGTTACCATCCATGCCAATGCGTCCCAGACATTCATTGCTTCATTTTACTGTCGGCAATTTCGGTTTATAGCTTAATCACTCAAATATTATTATTAGTATTAGTATTCGAGTTGTTAAACTCGAGTATGTCTCAACACCATGCATTTTCTCAATGGATTTTCTGAAACTTAGTTTACTTTAGTTCCGTTTGATTTATTTTCAGTCCTACCACGTTTATCGTCGCGAAGTCGTACGGATAGCTAAGGAGTTGTCTGTTAACTGTACAAACTTTCTTGCACTATTCGAAAATCGGAATAAAACAAAGTTGCCCGATTTTCGAGCTGTTCTTTCAGACTGTTAGTTGTCTCACTCGTTGATGCTCATTGAATTTTGTGATACATTGCAATTTCTCTACAGAGTCACCGCTTTTTATGATCTGCCTGTGTATTTTTGTGATAATATTTGGTTTTCAATGGCTAGTAAAGAATGCCTTTGTTGCTTTAGAAGATTGGAATGGGTCAGTATTTGCAATGTCACTCTACTTAGTCACAATCTCTGTAGTATGTTCTCGAGCAATGCATTTGTTGTCTTGACATGGATATCCCTCAATACAGGTTGTTGTTGATTTTGATCATATAAATTTGTGAGAACGCTGTACTACATTGTCGAACCCTCCATAAGTGATCTAGAAGAGTGCACTGAGTTTCTTAAACCCCTTCCGATCATTCAGCACTTCGACTCAGCGGCGGTCGCTGAAAAATCTCGCAACGAAGAGGTTCGTGGCAGACGTTTGTATCAGAGTTTATCTCTAGCCCTTCTCCTCGAAAACCTTTTTTAAATTGACCACGGATTTCCCTTAGACTCTTTTTATCTGGGCCTCCAACATTTTTTTTAGTAATAACGAGTGCCTTGCATGATATGATGACCCGCGTAGATTACATTACTCTCGACATTTCGGGACTGTATTTTCAAGGGTCATCCTTCCAATTCTTGGCCTCTTGGCATGCTAATCTGACAAGGGAGGTTTGCGAAGTCGAAGTGGCGGATCAGCATGAAGTGCATACCATTTTAGAGTGCTTGGAATGCTGACTCCAAGACTTCCAGAGCTTCAGCATCGCTTTGGGAACGGAGTTATGGGCGTTTTTCCGAGCAGGTCCCAGCACGCACGCCGCAGTCCCTGGGCAGTAATTAGGCTGCTAGGCTAGCGGTGCAAAAGGGCCGTCTCCCCTATTTATTAGTATAAGTAATATTAGGTTGATGCAAAAATAATGAGCGTTTTTCGAATTTCCACTTCAACTTGCTATAACTTTCTATACAATCTACTTAAATTGTACTCATATCTCACATGGGCAGAAAAATATGAATTGAAAAACAAGACGTTTTTTTCTGGAGTCTCGTTTTTAACAAAACATAACTCCCTTTATAGTTTGTTAGTATAGTTTATAAGTAGCATTCTTGTAGCCGCAAGTCAGTAGTACGAACAAACATGGAAAGAGCTTGGAGAAAAGAGATTGGCGGTTAGGAAAAAATCAAGACTTATTATCAACTTTTTCAGCATTTTCTCACTAGGCCTCAAAATCCCGAATCATAGAATTTTCTAATTTTCTGCGTGCTGAACAGCTAAATGCCTTTGCTAAAGCTGTCAACAGAATGCTCTACCCTCACGCTTACAGAAATGAGCAAAACTTTAGGGGTCGCATTCTACAAAAGAAAGATGTGGGCTAGGCTATAGAATGATCGCAACCATTACCCATGTTAAGGCACCAATAGCTTAGCTTAGATAACTTCAAAAAATATGGTTAAGTATGCATAATGTAGACAATTTCTATTACATACAGTGGCTAAATTTTTGAAAACGCTCCTCAATTTTCGCTCGAATTCTGGCCAGAAAAGTGAATGCAACAAAGATCTGGTTTTGAGTGCAGTCATTTGAAGCCCTATAAATTCTTAACAGGCTAGGTTGAATGTCCTTTTAGGCGGTTTTGTATAGAGTACTAGTTGGCAAACCCGGCCCTGTCAATAACATATTTGTAATCAGCATGCTCGATTACCCCCTCTGCCAACTCCCAGCCCTGTAGCTCGGATTTTGCAAAAAATCGATAAAATCGATATCGATCGATGATGAAAAGTGGCCTATGACACCCGCCGGGCCCGAAGTGTATGTGTGCCAAGTTTGGTCCGGATCGGTTCAGAAACGGAATTTTCTATTCGGAACATACGTACAGACAGACAGACACACAGACACACACACACAAACAGACATTCAGCTTTATATATAAAATGAAAAGGGCTCAATATTGCGAATCTGTTTCAATGGAAAAAGTTTGATTGAGAAAAGTTGTCCAGAAAAAGGTCCTAGAAAAACGCTCATCAATTTTGCATCAACCTTACTGTATAGGGGCCTGCAGGTCGCGAGAGTAGGACGTGCGCGGTGCAATGGCCGTACGCACTCCGTCTCTCGTGATCCTGCAGGCCCCTATATCATAGGGTACTTTTTCGTCAACCGGACCCATTTTTTCAAAGAAAGACTGCTTCTATTCTTGTATTATATTTTGTCCCAGCTTCACAAGAAGGAGTTCAGCCTTCTGTCAGTGTTAAAAAGGATTTGAAATATCATCAACGTATTTAACGGTTTTACCAAGAGTTTGTCTTGCCTTAGCTAGCGATGTAAGTTCTCTGTTATTTAGTCAATTTTGACCTCATTTCGATCAAACAGTTTCAAAGTCAACATTGTCGTGATAATAAGTTTCTTCTCCGTTATTCGGACCCACTTTTATGAAAGGCTCTCATATAATACGATCTTCAGCCTGAGAATAATTTTCAGATTCTACGAGGACTGTCTCCCTGCCAGGTATCAAATTAATACATTTTGGTCCAATTTGACATGTTTTTTCTAAATCATTCACGGTGAGGTAAAAGAGCATTTGTGTCAATTAAAAGCTGTCTGTTTTCGATAAGAGCAAAACAATTTGGAACTTGTACTAGAACATTTCATGGCTCTCAACAATGATTCAAAAAAGACTTTCTTTTCAAACTCTGTCCGCCAGCAAATTTAGCCAGGATAGGGTATAAATGATGGCTTGAGGAACCTCGGTACTGCTTGTTTTGCCGCTCAGGTGATGAAAATCTAGCGCAATTTCCTATTCTGGGCAACTCCATTGTGTTCATAATAAAAGGATAACGCTACCACTATAACACGTTGACGACCGAGCCATTTTTGACCACATCAAAATGGACTGATGGAATGATATCCCAGAAAGTCCATAATGGAGGAAAATGGATTTCCAAACCCCATTTTATTCGTTCGCGGTAGAAGTTGGTCGGAATCTGCTTTCGCTAGCGTTATCCAAAAATTTTTATCTTATCGCAACCACGAGGCAAAGCGATGTGATGAAAATGATTCAACCCTACTTGAGCTCTCGCTTGCGAAAGAATCATGAGAAAAGTCCATTTAGAATGGGGCAAAATGGGATTCACCTCCATTTTAAATGGACTTAGAAGCCCATTTTACTCCCAGCAGCAAGGTGAGCTGGGACTAAGCCCATTTTTGACCTTTTTGCATATTTCTGATGGCGATTTTTTGAAAATGTGTTCCTTAGCCTTTTCTAAGTTAGCAAAAGTGGAAAAGTTTCATGCCTTTTATGAAGTCTAAAATAAGTGTTTCTTTCTAAACTTGTATAGACGCTATAAAAATCAATGGAAGAAGGTTAAATTCACCAAAATATTCGCTAACAAACTCAAATGCTTCCAAATATCAGGTCGATGCGAAAATTTCTATGTAAATCAAATAAAGTTTGTTAATTCTTCAAATCATCAAACAAAACCAAATGCATGTATTGTATATAAGAATAAAAAAGATTTGCGTTCCAGTATAATTACTCAGAAGCATCTTTCGACTAATCTCGCAGAACCGAATCTCAAAGAACGGCATTTCAAACGCGATTTTTAGATTGGTCGCAAGAATTACTGAAATGGCGCTAGCTAGCAAGAAAATTTTTCTAAAATTTTCTATTAGCAATAGTCCATACATTCAACTACTTAGAGATATAAACATTAGTGCTGAGAGACAAAGAAGAGCTAAAGCAGGAAATTTGCGAAGGCATCTTTAGCAGATTCGTATTTTCGACTTGAAAAAAACCCTTTGGATTGTAGTGTAATACAAGGTTCTTATGAGATTAGCATTTTGATTCGCAGATTACAGTGCAAGTTCAGCCAAAGTTTGCTTTTTGCAGAAAGCTCTTCATACGAATTTGATTTAATGCAGATTCATAGAAGTCTTGAAAAGCGAAGGCCCAGATATTACATGAATTTTATTGAAAGTAATTTAGATGCATAATCATCGATAATAAATGGCATTCTGTGAGGTGTAACGAAGTGGGAAAGAATAAAATATTAACTCGACTGATATTGTAATGTTAGGTCAGCCTAGTTAGATATCGACCACATAGTGAAAATGAGTTTGCAAGAGTGAGTAAACAGGTTGGGGCAAGTTAAAGAAAGGTTTGCTGAAGAGGTTTTGCATGGAATGAATGGATTCGCGTATGCAATATCTTATTGCACCGCATGGACTAAGTCCATTTTATTCGCACGAAAAGCCCATTTCGCGGGGACTCCCGTGGATATCATTCATGATCTACGGCTGCGGTTTCGACTGTTTAACAGCTACCGCAATGCCGTGTATTCTATACGTTAACCAGGCCATTAGCGTTATCGCTGCATAGAAGTTACCTGAAAACTTTGCGTTTACACATGATAAATTGATGCACGAAAGTGCTAAAAGGTGGTCAGGGCGTGCATACGTGCGGATGCACACGGTCGTCAACATGATAATAATGTTCATTTTTGAATGGTTTAATTGAAAATGGGGTCATTATTGACTGAAAAAACACCTTGAGCTAACGTCGCTAGGTGCAATATAAACTCTTGGTAAAACCTGCTAAACATGTGATGATATGTCAAATTTTTTTGACACATGGTGGAAGGTTGATATCCTTCCTGTGAAGTTAGGACCAAATATGGTACAAGAAAAGAAGCAATATCCTTTCTAGAAACGGATAACGGAAAAGTACCACTGATAATGACATACTATCATCGAGAACAGATTAGACTTGCTCAGGACAGAGGAGTGCGCTAGAATTTCGTTATTTAAGAGACGAAATAAGCAGCTGCAAGGTACTACAACCTGTCATTTATAGTCTTTTCGGCTAAATTCGCATGGCGAAAAGGGTTAGAAGTACATTTTTGAATACTGCTGAAAGCAACCAAGATGTTCTAGAATAAGTCCATGATTGTTTTGCCCTCATGTAAAACAGTTAAGCAGCTATAAAATGGTCACACAAATTCCCCTTTATGTTGCGGCTCAGTGTGCTCAGCACTTCGCCCAGTGCTCGACCGCCTGACAACACAACTCCTGACTCCAGGAAATACCGCCTCGGCGCTAGTGTGCGCACTACCTAGCGCGTCTGCTCGACGCCTACACCCCACTAACCCGTACGACACGAACATCACACGCGCGACTAGATTACATCACATTTATCTAAAACTACACAAAATAACAACAACTAATAGAACAACAAAAATACTAAAACTACTAAAAAATCACTAAATACTACTCAAACTACTACTACTACTCCAGGACAAGAAGAATACGCACGGGACGAGCCGCCTCGTCCCGTGCTGCCGATGCCTCATGAAGATCGAATCCAACACGAGTAGTTCCGGGTTCTCCGAAGAGTCAGCCGCAAGTCCTTAGCCCTTACGGGACAGCGAGTCCCCTCTCCACTCCCGCAATCCTTTCCGCTGCTTGTTAGACTACAATACTAGCTGCGCGTCTCCATGCACAAGAAGAATGTCAAAAGGCTCAACCGCTCGAAACCGTTGATCATCTGCGGGAGCTACTGGAGGCGCTGCCAGCGGGTTGATATCATCAAAAAATCGATAACGAACGAAGCTCAAGGAGGCGCAGACCGCAGCCCACGCGCCCTTATATACCCTGAGACTTGGCAACGCGCCCAGCAGGAGAGGTCTTGGCGCGATCTTGATAACGCGCCAAGTAACGCGACAGCCAGCGCTCCCGGTCTCCTGTTTCGAGGAGTGGCTTGCATCGCGCGAGCCGCGACACTCCCCCCCCGAAACAGTGGACTTGGACGTTCGGAAGGTGGTTACGTGATAACGCTGGAGTCCACAACGGAGAGCACCTAACCGAGTATGACCAAAAATAAATATTACCATCGGCAGCACAGTAGGGGCGCGCGACAAAAGGAATATGAGAAACTCGGCCCGTGCTGATGCGAAACTGAATAAAACGTAACAAAGTAGACTCAAACGCTAAATAATATACATGGGTAAGTAGATAGCTAAATGCGATTAACTGAGGTTAAACTGAATCAAAAATATATGCAAGAGGTTAAATATGAGTAAATGTGCGTAGAGGGCTTATCACTGAGCAGCTAGATACGTGACCACTGACGACCATTCCACACCGAACCACATGACCGTAACCACAACAGTGACGCGCGACCACCGCATCAACCATTCACACATACATTTCCAACCAGATGACCATACGCGTATCAAGTGCGTACCATACATCTCCACACGCGTCCAACTCATTGCATACGGCCAGATATTACTGAAACAAAAGTGGTTTATGGCGTCAGAACAATAAAAAATACTCGAATCACACTAACCATTCTCTCGACTCCTTCCAGGTTACTGTCACGCACTAGCTCACCCTCAAGGTCTACTCACGCGCGCCACGCTGAGGCGACGGTGTTCTAGCGCGCGGCTGGAATTCCCCAGATGGTATCGGGTTGTAGGTTAACTCTTCAAGCCAGGAATAAAACGCGGCCGCCGGCATATGCACATTGCTCTTATCTATACCCGAGTTACGCATGCAAAACGCGCGGTGATGGCGCGCCCCGCCACAATTCTTACAGTGAAATTCCTTAAAACAGCTCCCATAATGCACCGCAAGACACTTAGGACAGATCCCTTTCTGCTGCGCGATACGCACTCTCTCTATCATGTCCTTGACCACGTTGCACTCCGCGCTGAAGTGTCGCGTCCCTTCACAAAAAACGCACGGCCGATGTTCTCGCCTAAATCTTCCTTCGAACCTCACTGGCTGCGCGGCTTGCTGCACTGGCTGATTGGGCTCCTGCCCAGCCTCCAGCACGGCGTCGAGAATGTGCTCAAGGCGATGTTCCGGTGGAATCGAAGGGCCTGGGTGCTGCTGTTCTTCTTGTGGGGCTGATTGGCGCGTCGGGTATGTCTGTGATGATTCTTCCTGTTGCGCGTCCGGCGGCTGAAGCGAAACTGTCTGTCCTTGATCTTCCGGTAGGACTTCTTCTTTCTCCAAATTCCTAATTTCGGGTGACGATATAGCGCTGATGTTTCGCGCGACTGAAGAAACGGTTATAGTCGAGGACTGCTCACTCTCTGGGCTCTCTTGTGGTTGCTCTTCATCGGACTGTACCGTAAGACCTTCTCGCTCGATCATGTCAAGGAATTCGTGAGTCAGAGAACTGTGGAGCATCTCATCATAACTCTCTTGCCACATACGCAGAGCTTGAGTATAGGTGCGCGGCTGCAAAGGTGGTGGTCCAGGATCGGCCGGCGCGGCAAGTCTGCGGTACTCTTGATCTTGCTCTGTAAGACTCAATCCTCGGCGCGAGATGACACAGTTCATCTGAAGGGCTTCCAATGTGCGCGTCAAGCGGGTGGCATGAGCTATCGCTGCTGACGCGGCCATGGTCTTCTCCGTGATAGTGGCTTCGGTACATCCTAGCGCGGCCAAAGCATCTAAAAAGACTTGCGAGCGCGCAAACAGAGGTGGCAGTAAATACTCCAGGATGAGATCGCGATGGACTGCGATTCCAGTGCTGATGTGCTGCACAATGTGTATATGGCCCATCAGCGCGACATACCTCAAGTTCATCTTGTCCTTGCGCAGCAGTAAAACTTGCGCGTTCATAAAAACGTTATTAGCGCTGTCTAGCACATCCGTTAGCTGGCGCGTATGGAATACTACTTGCGCGGCCTGGTATTGCTGCTCAGGTGTCAAAAGCGCGGCCTGCTGAACTTCCTGCTGTACTGGCGCTAGCGGCGTGCCCGACCTAATAAGAAACTGATAGACCCTGCGGAGCTGCGCGGCTGTAAGCTCTTCTACCGTATGCGGCAGCGCGTCTGTAGAGTCCTGCAGAAGCGGTAGTGTAGGCGCCATCCTATCAGGTGCTGGGTTAGGCAAAAGAGGCGCGTCTGGGTCATTACTAGCGATGCGCGCGCGTAAACGCTGCTGCTGTCGCTCAATCGCTGCAAGTATCTGCCTGCATTCCAGCTCGTTACTCATGTGCGCAACGCGACGTCTCGCTTCTATGCCTGCCAGTTTCCTAATAGCGTCGTCTACTGAAGCTGGGCCTTGTGATCTCGCGCGCGATGTACTAGGCGCTGATGCTGCTGCGTCAAGGGATTGCGCGTCTGGGCTAACTGTGCGCGACAGCGACGACGAAGACTGCTGCATGATGTTGCCAAATACGAAAGTTGAAAGTCCGCACAGCTGGAAAAAAGTGCGCTTGATAAAGGGTAAATAACAATATGAGGGCTCAACAGAAGAAAGAAGCGCGGCTAACTACAACAAAAAAATGATGAATAAGGGGTTATGTGCACTGTTATTTTGGAGAGGGCGCAAAATTTTCGGCGTGCACAGCCGAGGGAGCCCTATGCAACAAGGGAGAAGAAAAACAAAGAAAAATAGTCTTCTTACTTGTGTTGTTCCCTCTTTATCCTCGATCCACAATAGTCGACTGGTGACAGATAGATTTATTGACAGTGGAGAGAATCGTACGTACAGAACGTATGGGTCTAAATAACAACACTAAATGGATGCTAGGAGCACAAAAATACAAGACAGCGCGAAAAGGGGGTGAAAGTTACAAAAACTACTACAACAAGAAAGAATACTATACTAATGGAGTAAAAAGGTACGAGCGCGGCTGCTCTCAAGTTGAAACTAAAAAATGGATGACGAGCAGGCGATCGATGATATTTCGCAACTCTATCCGACCACTCGAAGCTCGCAGTCGCGTCCTATCGTATAACAGTATTTCACACCGGGACCGACACGTGCTAAAGGTAGAGTTAGACGGAAAAAAGGTGCATGATCGCGCGAATAGCGCTCAATCATACGGAAAACGAGTCAAATAAGAAGAAAAGAAGATAGGTTAACTAGAAAAATAGGAGAAACTTAGAAAAATAACTAAATTACTTACATAAGGGAAAACTGCACTGTCGTGATCACTTCCTAGACAATCCACGGTGTTGTTGCTGCGCCTTCGCGCGGCTGTTACCACTACGCTCCACAACTTCTTCGTCTTCCGCGATTATCTCCAATGGCAATAAATGATTTACTGCGCGGTCGACTACTTTTCTTCTGCCTGTTCTAATTTTGGCTGATCTTACATTGCCGTCTGGTGAGGTGTGAAGTTCCAGGATAAGTCCTAACGGCCAGCTGGATCTCGGCGCGTCCTGTTTCACAAGTACGACTTCGCCAACTCGCGGTGATCTCGCAGAAGGACGGGATTTCGCGCGTGTAGCTTCTCTGTCTGCTAACGCTCTGAGATATTCTTGCTGCCAGAGGTTCCAAAAACAGTCCAAATCGCTCTGCAAAATCCTATAACGCGTATTCAACGTCTGGTAACCATCGTTCGTCGAATGCGCGATCCTTCGTGGTAAAGTGTCCCTGAGTCGCGCTATCTTGAAGTTAGGTGATATCAGGTCGATCGGACGAATGGCCGCACTCGCATTCGGGTTAACCGAATTCACTGGAAAGAGCGGTCTAGTATTCAAGATGGCTTCTACTTCGATTAGGAGTGTTTCGAAGATCCAAATATCCAGGATTTGATTCCGTACCGCCTTCTTCAGCGCGATCTTCACTGATCCCACTAGTCTTTCATAGAATCCTCCCTTCCAAGGTGAATACGGAGTGATGAAAGTCCAACGGATACTATGGCTCGTCAAAAACTGGTCCATCTCAGCGTCTTCCCTGATTTCCGGCAGCTGATTGTTAATAACCTCCTCTCCTAATTTGAACGTCGGCGCGTTATCGCTGGTGACAGTATCCGGCGTTCCTCTGCGCGCCATGAATCGCCTAAACGCTAGTAAAAATTGAAAGGTGGAATTGTCTCTTACCACTTCCAAGTGCAGCGCGCGAGTCGACATGCACGTAACGAGACAGACCCACACCTTATGGCAATCGCAGTTCAACAAGCGCACGGAAATCGGTCCAAAATAGTCTAATCCAATGTGCTGAAATGGACGACTCCTCGTCACTCTTTCCGCGGGTAAATCCGGAGCGCGCGGATAGGTATAAAGACGACCTTGATATCTCCTGCAAACGACACACCTGGAAATATACGATTTTATGAAACGTCTAAGCCTAGGTATAAAGAATCTCTCACGTAAGGCAGATAACAAATGTGACGGTCCTGCGTGAAAGAGCTAATGATGGTAATGCGCGATTAACTTCTCGCAGAGGGGGTGAGACGATAGTATAAGAATAGGATTCTTACTCGTATCGCTCATCTGCGCGTTAACCATGCGCATATCAACTCTTATAGTACCATCCGTTTCGCGCTTAGTGTGGAGCTTCTTCACATACGTACCATTCATTTGGCGCTGGCTCTCACGGTAGTGCTCTCGTATGGGCACGAGCTCAGCTGCCATAAAATCGTCCGATGTTATCGTGGGTGTAATATTCATCGTGTTGAATGGAAAACGTTCTTCCTGGTCCTCACGCTGATTGCACGTCCTGACTCTATGACGCAATTTAGTCACGTATTTAAGAATGTACGCTGTTATACGGACTAGCTTCACGTAGGAGTTGGTGCGCGTAAACGGCACAAAAGACGTATACGCCTCCTGGGTACCACTAACCGAATTTACGACCGTCTCAGGTATGCGAAGTTCTTCCGATTCTGCTCCTGGTGGTATGGGCTGTGATGGCTGGAAGGACTTGCATGGCCACTGTGAAAAAGGCGTCGCAAAAAAGGTAGGGCCTGTCCACCAAATGTGGTGTTGCAGCTCCGAGGCTGTCACTCCTCTAGTAGCACAATCCGCTGGGTTGGTCTGCGTGGCTAAATAGTAGAATCCAGTAGCAATCTTCTCTGTTTCCAGCTCGTCCAACACACGACGAATATACTTGACGCGATTAACCACATAGGTCTTAAGTGGTCTCTGGGAGTGAATCCAATAGAGGACTATTTGTGAGTCGGTTAGAAACTTGATCGAACAGAATCTGACCTTCAGCTGGGCCCTCAAAAACTGTACTGTCTTAGCTGCCATATGGGAAGCTAAGAGTTCCATGCGCGGTATCGTGATGGCACCGGGAGGGGCCAACTTTGCTTTGGCGAAAAGCAAAGTAGATCGAGGTATACCGCGACGAGGGCGCGTCAAAATGTAGATGGCAGTAGCGTAAACGCGTTTAGACGCGTCAGAACATACGACCAGGTCATATGTATCCTCGAAAGTATCACCAATGTAGCGCGGTACGCTTAGCTGAAAACTGCTAATATCCTGCACGATCGAGTTCCATTTCTGGATATCTTCGTCGGTAAGACTGTCATCCCATCCATATCCGAGCTCCCAAAGGTCCTGAATGAACATTTTCGCTTTTATCAACAAGGGTGCCAATAGTCCGAGCGGGTCGAATGTCGACGCGTAAACTTGTAGCGCGGTTCTCTTACTCGTGACTGCTTGACGCGCGATGTTGAGTGGCACGTGTAGTGTATCAAGCGTAGGGTTCCATCTGACTCCTAGTAAGCCGACGTACTGCCCTTGTGCTAACATGCAACTATCTTGAGGAATCGAAGCCATCGCTCTCTGGTTGTTAGACATAAACTCTCGAAGGTTCATGTGCATCCTAGAGAAAATATCCTTGCACTCCTTACACTTGTCTACACATTCCTGGGTGGTCTTAGCTCCGACTATAACGTTATCCACGTAAGTATTGGCAAGTATTTCCTCCTTAAGGCGATTGGCTGGGTCTTGCTCAAGAAAGTATCTAATCGACATGCTGAGTAGGAACGGTGATGCGTTCACGCCGAACGGCAAACGCGCGAAGCGCATTATACGTAGATTCTCTGAAGAAGGTGGCTGGTGCACATCCTTCAACCAGAGGAATCTGGTTGAGTCTCTCTGATCCTGATGTAAATGGATCTGATGAAATGCCTTCTCGACGTCTGCAATGACAATGTAAGGATGAAAACGACTTCGCATCAGAGTTCCAACTAAATCCGGCAGAAGAGAAGGTCCTTGATGGAGACAGTCATTTAGACTGGGGACTCCTTTCTGATGGCTCGACGCGTCAAGGACAATCCGTAGCCTAGTAGTCGCGCTCTCTTGCTTGTACACTGCCTGATGTGGTATGTAGTACACGTTAGGGCCTTGCGCGGCAACGCGCGTAACATCCTCTATAATGCCCATCTTCAGTTGCTCATTGATGGTGTGACAGTAGTCGTTCCAAACTGATGGTGTAGCGCGGAACTTCTCATACTGATTCTGCAACCTGCGAAAGGCTAAAGCTTTGTTGTCGGCAAGCGGAGGATGATCTGACTTCCATGGAAAGGACACATAGATGTTGCCGTCCACAATCCTAACGGTATCGTAGAAATGCTTGATGGTATTAGCATCTTCTGTGTTCTCTTCCTCTTCCGTTGCAACCAGATCCAAGCCGAAAAGACTCTTGATCAACTGGTGGGTTGCAACTTCGTCATCATCGAGCGGAGTCTTCGTGGCTAACAGGGTGTTCGTGGCAAGTGGATGCTTCTGTCCAGACAAGACGGGTCCAAATCTGGTGTGCGACAGTATGAGGCCAGATGGTAACTTCTCATTCCTGTGCAGGTCCACAATACGCCAATAATTGTCTATCCCGATTAGTACATCGACTTCTACTCTGTCTCCTAAATCGACGATGTCTTTGTCGTTCTGGGTGTTGGTCCGTGGGACTGTCGTGATCCTCTCGCGCGTCCATAGATCGAGATAGATCGGGTAGTTATACTGGTCCCAGAGTATGAGTGTAACCTCTGACGATTCTTCCGTGAATTGGTGACCGCCGAACGTCAGAGTCGTAAATGTCCTGGTGTTACGAAATGATAAGCCTAGATGTTTGGCTAACGAGGTGCAGATGAAACTAAATTGAGAGCCACTGTCTAAAAAGACTGTGAGCAACTCATCCGTATCCGTCTTATAATTCTTCGTAACTGCATGGACTACCATCAAGCGCGGTTGCGCTGATTCCTGCGAACACACAGATATACAGGATGATGGTGAGTGAGAGCCTACGCGAATTCGGTGATGATCCAGGGGCTCTGCTTGCTCGTCCACGCTAGCTACGGGTTGATCAGGAGTACCGGTGGCGCTGTGTACTGCGGAAATACTACGCGACCTGCGTGCCGAAGAGGCGCGTCTAGCCGGTGAAGAAGGTTGTCGCCTAGATGGTGATGGCGGTTTAGGATAAGCGTTACGCGATGACGATGCGCGCGAGTAACCTCGATATGCGCGCGGCACTGATCCCTGAGTCTCTCTGTAAAATTGCACACGTCTCGGAGAGTAAAACCTGTCGAGACTATGCCTGGTGTTTCCATTCGCTGGAGGTGGTGGCGTACGTGCGCGCGGAGGATTCCAACAGAGAGCTCTATGGTGTATCCTACCGCAGTACTCACACAATGGCGCATCACACTGAGCGTATCCGTGACCTCGCTGTAGACACAACCAACACAATCTGTAACGAACAAGAATGGATCTTCGTTGTGCTACGTCTCGCACGATGTTACATCGTTCGGATGGATGTCCGGGATCACGGCAAAAGGCGCAGTATGGTTCGTATGGAATCGCATAGCGTGGTCTGCTAGGGCTGCGCGACGCATTACGAGGATAATACGGGGTTGGGGGTCTGTTATGCCTACTGTAGGGTGATGGCGTGCGCGATACCGACGGACGTCTGGGGTAGTACGATGACGTACGATAGCGCGTAAACGCTGAGTCCGTGCTGCTCACGCTCGGATACCTACGTGGCAAAGAAGAATCGTGACGGACTGATGCCTGGGAGTTATACGCAAAATGTTCTGATGGGTCAGCATCCTCAATAGTTTCCAATCTGTCGATGATGGTATCCAACGTCGAAAGTAACTCGTCAACTGTCCACATCGCGTCTCCCTTGGTCTTGTATTCGCCGATCTTTTCGCGCGTCCGTCTCGGGAATTTAGCACGAATAATCTTGAGAGTACCGATAGCACTAGAGTCCTCCTTGAGATGTGTAAGCTGGGTCCATATAGCCTTGACGGTACAATATGTCGCGCGTTGCGACATCGGCGAATCTGATGCTGGTGGCAATTGCATCAACTTATCCCACAGCCTATTGCGGAGGATCTCTGGTCTACCGTACGTATTCGTCAAGGTACGTACTGCATCCTCATAGTTTTCTGCCGTCGATTGAAAACCGGCAATGATGCTCGCGGCTGGTCCTCTTAGATGGGACTTGAGGTACATAAATTTCATCGATGCTGGCACGTTGATGTTATTGTGCACGGCTACCGAGAAGAGATCCCAGAACTCCAAAAAATTGTCGATGTCGCCATGGAAGGTCGGAATCTCAAACGTAGGCAACTTCAACGTCTGTTCCACGGATGAAGGGGAAGAATTGACATTGGGGACTAAAAAAGAACTGAATGGATTCGACTGATGAACTGGAGGGGGATTCACAAGAGTTGGGTGGGCCGAAGGGTGATGGGAGGGGTTGTCGAATCCTTGCGCGACACTTGGCGCGCATGCCGGCGGGGGTGCTGGACGCGCTGGCACGACTGCCTCGGGATCAGCTGGACGATCCCTATCGTGCGATGAAGAATGGCTCGCGATTTCCATTCTTACATCAGGCGCGAGCTGCTGGGGATAAATGGGGTCTCGGGTAGGGTTAGGGGTAGGGTTAACAAGAGAGGGAGGAACAGTAGAGCTGCGAAAATAATATAATGCCTCCGAGCTCGGCAGAAGTTTGATGGCAGCATCAACACGATCCCGGAGAGTTTCGGCCTCCTCCACAAGGTCATCCAGTCCACTGGCATCCCAATGGTCCTGAATCTGCTGGAGGAGGGGGAACTCGCCGTTCTCGTCCGGGTGCTGCCGAGCAAACTCCTCGGCCTTCTCTCGCTGGGCACGAAGAGAATCAACAGTACGACCGAAAGAAGTAAAATGGAAAAATAGTAAACTTTTACGACTAAGAACAAGCTGTGGATCTCTACCTGCCTCGATGGTAAAATCCAACGGCTCCAAGATGGCCTCGTCAAACTCCGCGATCTTCTTGCGGATTGCGTTGGCGGCTTTAGTGATCCTAGCTTTGTGGGCACCGAAAATCGACATTACCTGGAAAAAATAGGAAAGAAAAACAATAAAGGAAAACTATATACACACAAACGATAAATATGACGTGAGTAAATATGAAGAGGATAACTATGCTGACTAGATAACGACAACGGGGTGATCCGACGACTGGAGTTCCTAAAGGCGTAAGGCAAAACAGGTATAATACAACCGGGTGTCACTGAAGAACCTGCGCGACACTGAGTGGCGCGTGTATAACAAGGTGCCAAGACAAGTAACCTGCCGGAGGCCGGCCAGAGACTACTAAGGGCTCCTATTGGCGAATCGGAGGGGTCATCTGACGATGCCCTTGGGCACTTGAACCAGTTGAACTGAAATAAACCGTGTTCCTTCCAATTGCCGTCTCCTTCTGTCATCTATCCTTCGATGGTATCCTTTCGGCATCCTGCTCGGCAAGTCGAACTTCCTAACACGGCTGCTCTCCGCCTATACTAGGGGTAGTGGCGAACTAAAGGGGTTAAGCCTCAAGGGCCCAAGTGCGCTTATTGCACCAAAGAGACTATACCTTACGGTACCCCATGTAGCACTACGCCGGGGATAGAGGTCACTACGGGTCCGAATTGGGCCAATCTTGCACTACTGACTAAACTACTACACTAACTAAGGACTACAGGTGGTTAGACTACGGGGACAGACTAATACCGGTTATAGAGAAAACTAAACTACAGTAGAGCGAAAAGAAAGAAGTGATGTGAAAGAAGAACTAACAGGCTATGGATGCAAGGGACCTAGTACGTATCCATCTCGCCCACACTGACATACTCTATTAATAATACACTGTACTAAAACTGCAATACTAGATACTAAATAAAACATGTGACCCCCACTACATACAACTTACTCCCGTCTCCCCGGTCCTGGTCCAAGCTCCTACGTGTATAGGACGGTGCCGCTCCCCTACCCTCGCGCTTCCTCACGCGTCCGACGATACAACTCCATCTTCGCGCGTCCACCGATACAACTCTGCGCGACCCTCACAACATCTCCATCCTCGTCCCATCGCCTTCCGATAGCGCGTACGACGATACAACTCTGTAACGCATTCGACGATACAACTCTATATACACGTACGACGATACAATACTAAGGCGCGTTCAACGATACAATACTGGCTATGCGTGCGACGATACAATTCTAAATCGCGCTCCTTCAATCCTTCCTATCCACGCACAATCGTTCCAACTCCCACGATCTTCCTGCGATCCATCTTCCCTGGCGCGTACTCCGATACAGCTCGTGCGCGTTCGACGATACAATGCGAAATACGCGTACTCCGATACAACTCTAATCGCGCCCCTCAACCTGCGCAATCGTGCTCGACGATACAATGCATAATGCACGTACAACGATACAGCTCTGTGCGCACCTATCTGGCGACTCCATTCCACTCTATCCATCTTCTGCCTTCTGCAATCGTATTCCTGTGCGTTCCCGCGATCCATTGGGCGATCCTGCTCATCCTTCTACTCTCCTCTCGCACAACAACTAAAACTACCCAGACTCGACTTGCGCGGCCGCTGGTACTCTCCGGTACCCCCTGTCGAGCCCGCCAATTGACGACACCGGCCCTGCACCTGAGTAGCTCCTCCTAGCACAGCAGGCTTACCAGGTATTGCACGACGTGGGCGCTCGATCGATTGGGGTTCCAGTTGGCAAGTTGCCACAGTCTTCCCGACTTTCCCCCCGCGCTTACACGCCGTGCTTCGCACCCTGGCTAGCCCCGCAGCCTTGCTACTGGTTACGTAGGTATTCACCACGGTATTCCTGAGTGCCTGATCTTCTTATTGCGTGCTGAGCGTGGTGGACATCGGGTCCGTTACGCACGCATGGAGGACGAAACAGCGCGTCCTACTGACGCCGACTCCTACTGTCCAACTCGATGTCATCCTGCACGACCAACAAAACAACAGGCTCCATGCGCGGGCGGAAAACATCATCCACCATGCGCTCGGCGTCGATGCACCATGTTGCGGCTCAGTGTGCTCAGCACTTCGCCCAGTGCTCGACCGCCTGACAACACAACTCCTGACTCCAGGAAATACCGCCTCGGCGCTAGTGTGCGCACTACCTAGCGCGTCTGCTCGACGCCTACACCCCACTAACCCGTACGACACGAACATCACACGCGCGACTAGATTACATCACATTTATCTAAAACTACACAAAATAACAACAACTAATAGAACAACAAAAATACTAAAATTACTAAAAAATCACTAAATACTACTCAAACTACTACTACTACTCCAGGACAAGAAGAATACGCACGGGACGAGCCGCCTCGTCCCGTGCTGCCGATGCCTCATGAAGATCGAATCCAACACGAGTAGTTCCGGGTTCTCCGAAGAGTCAGCCGCAAGTCCTTAGCCCTTACGGGACAGCGAGTCCCCTCTCCACTCCCGCAATCCTTTCCGCTGCTTGTTAGACTACAATACTAGCTGCGCGTCTCCATGCACAAGAAGAATGTCAAAAGGCTCAACCGCTCGAAACCGTTGATCATCTGCGGGAGCTACTGGAGGCGCTGCCAGCGGGTTGATATCATCAAAAAATCGATAACGAACGAAGCTCAAGGAGGCGCAGACCGCAGCCCACGCGCCCTTATATACCCTGAGACTTGGCAACGCGCCCAGCAGGAGAGGTCTTGGCGCGATCTTGATAACGCGCCAAGTAACGCGACAGCCAGCGCTCCCGGTCTCCTGTTTCGAGGAGTGGCTTGCATCGCGCGAGCCGCGACACTTTATCTTACTGAAAATTTCGAAAAAACATGTCAAAATGGACCAAAACATGACAATTTTTTCGTGACACGTGGCAAGGAGGCAGACGGCGTAGAATTTGTGAAAAATTGTTCTTAGATTGAAGAACGTATAATGTGAGAGCTTTTTGAAAAATGGGTCCGGACAACGGAGAATACCGTATTATGTCTATCAGTATTCCCTCTCTTCAAAGAGTAGTTTTGAGCGGAGATGGGGCCGCATGCACTCTCCGGAAATGGGATGGCAGCTTGAATAAAGGCTTCTATCCTGAAGCCCCAGTATCTGGATTTCACGTGTCTATTCGTGAATACTCCTAATATCTTTCAACGTAAACATATCGAGAAACAGGAGCGAAAAGCTGTACAAGTTTATTTTCCAGGTCTTTCTTTGTATGACCCCTGATGATCGCCGGCGGCCGGCCGTCTTTTCTTCAAAGTCATTTTTTTCTTGGAAGTTAACGAAAAGTGCCGAAGTTTCACTGATTATCTAACCAAACAGTGCTAAGCATGGTTATGATAAGAACAAATGATGTATTCAAGTCATGAAATTGCCATGAACTGCAAGTCTTGAGTTGGGATTTATAGGAAATTTTATTCTTCAATAACTCATTTGTTCCTAACAGCAGCATGCTTGGCAATGTGAAGTTAAGTGATCAGTACCACTTTGGAATTTTTCGTTAACTTCGAAGAAAGAAAAATGACTGTGAAGAAAAAACGGTCGGCAGTGGGGGATCACCAGCGAACCATACAAAAAGCAGAAAAATGTAGCTTGTACAGCCTCTCGCTCTTCTTCAATATGTTTGAAGTGAAGAATGGTAGAATTACTTACGGAATGTAAACAGCGTGAAATTAAGATGTCTGGAGCTAGAGGGTATGATCTTTCGATCTTCAATACCCTCCCCGGCGAGGATGTTAATGCATGCAGCAATAAGTGTCTAGGGCTAGTTTGGGTGGGGGTTATGGGCTATAACTGAGATAAATGGCTTAAGTATGGCTGGTTACAGTATGCCAGATGTGTAAAGTGCAGGGTTTCACGGAACTCAAGATTTGTGATGGTTTCCATTGTGCAAAGTGCTGGGCTCTCGTGCGGAGACCTGCGGTAAGCAGATCTTGGGGTTCTGGAGAACAAGTGGGATATCCACCACGGGTGAGACCCCGGAGCTTCCCCAAATGTTCCCTGATATCTTCACACGACTGTCTGAATCAGGTCGTCAAGAGAGTAAAAGCGCTTCCGGTGCTACCGCGCCATGTTAAATACAAACAAATGTGAGTAGAGTACTTAACAGGGCAAAAGAGCCGTACAAGTTGGTCACCAATCATCCTGATCCACGTAAAGTCTGAAGCCAAAATCCTCGTTTATTCAACTAAAATTTTTCGCTCGGGGAAATTCTACAGGCCTCCCGATCAATTTACATTAGCTGACAAACCCGACTCCGCCCACCCTGTCGGTAATATTCTCGTGATCAGCATACATACTTATCCCCTGTGCCAACTCTGAGCCTAATTCCTGCAGAAAATCGATAAAATCGATGTCGATTAGTGACGAAAAGTAGCCTGCGTTGCCCGCCCCGCCCCGAAATGTATGTGTGCCAAGTCTAGTCCGGATTGATCCGGAAATAAAACTACTGGGAACATACGTGCACATATACATACATACCGGTGGCTTTCCCAGGATTTCCGTCCCGGGGGGGGGGGGGAATTTGCTTTCAAAAGGTGCGTGGAGCCACGTACTCCGAAGATTTTTGGGACGCCTCAAATTTTTTGCCGGCCCATAACCCCTAAAAAGATATACGGCTACTAGTTGCTGGCAGAATGCAAAGCTGTTGCGTTCGTCGAAAGCAGTGTTTATGGCCGGAAAAGGGAACGCGGAAAAAGCAGCGAGTGCAGGAGAGGGACTCACGCAGGTTGCGATCCCGCGCCCTGCGAGGACGGTCTATACTCTGACTATTCTCATGCTCAAAAACTAAACGTCTATGCAGGGGACATCATTTACTTATGCACTCGCTGCAAATGTTAAAAGTTAGAAATCAGAGAAATTATGAGCTTGAATTGGCAAAAGCAAAGCAACCAACATTCTCTCACATTTAAATGTACAGTCGAGTAGGTTTTCCGCTCAATATGGTATGCTTGCACAGAAGGTGAAATGCGGTAAAATTTGCGCGTCAACAAATAGCTTCGATTATGACGCTGGCCAACTGCGCGCACCAAATGCCGGCAATACTGGCGT